TGGACTGGGTCTTTTGTTCCGTTGTGTGTGGACACTGCAAAGGAGTATTACATTGGAGTAAAATAGCTGTTTAGTTTTCCCTGATTTTCAGCAACTAACTCGCTTAACGTTTATCTTTAAGTTATGTTGTTTCGAATTTAGATCCATAAGTCGTTAACAGAATAAAAATCACTACCTAGTTAATGTATATCAACCAACGATAACAGGGTTTACATAATATCATCTTCAGATCTACCATACCGATATAAGGTACTGAAATAACAGAGTTCAGTGTACTAAAACAAATAAGTGAATTTTATTTTGTCAATTTATTTTATTTCATAATCAAATTCAAATCATATTTAATAATTTAATGCAAATCAAATGCATATGACTTTGTCCAACCGGTAAGTGAATACAGTGAACGTTATTTGTAAAGATTACTATGAACAATAAGCAAATACACACAAAAACATGGGTATAATACGTGAATAACTGTAACAGATAGTTCACAGGATAAATTGGATCAATAATTTATTTGTAAAAATAATCAAAACAAAGTTAAAACAATAGTTTTAATAATAATAGTAATTTTTTATAGTGGCTTTGTGAAGACTTTTGACTTTTATAGTTTACGTTACGAACTGATCTTAATTAAATAACCATTGAAAACCTAAAATCAGTGTACAGCTGCTTCTTCTTAGTATGGAACTACGCAAAAGAGTGTGTTTGAGAACCTGGTGACAATCTAACCTGGGATCTTAAAGTTTTGAGATGAATGTTTAATTCATAGGTCACATAGACAACATCCAATGGTTAATATGCATGATTTTAAACAACCCGCAATAATGAGCAACCATCTTCCAGTTTCAATGGTGACAAATTCTTTGATGCAGTAGATGACGGATATCGGTTTTTTGATTCAGTGGTTAAGCACTGACAGTTAGATTTGAAGGTCCTGGGTTCGATTTTCTGTGGGATCTTATATACTTATTCTTCTGTATTCTCATACTAGGGCAGAATAGTTGACCAGAGCTTCTAGATCTTCAACGGTTGTTTAATTAAGATCAGTCAGTAATGTAAACAACGGATCACTCTGCATCGATGCATACTGCTTCTCTGAAAATGCATTGAATGGTCTAGCACCTGTAAGTGTATCTCATTCCACAAGTAGTATTATAGGAACTTTAAATGTTTAGCCATTTTTTATTAGTGAATTCCCTAAGTAAAACCACCTACTTACTGTCACTTTATGGTAACACTGTCCCCAGAAAGCTTAACTAATTTGAATAACATAAACAGTATATCACTGTGTCACATGGCACACGCATTTCGGTAGACCTGATTGACATATTTTGGTAATTACTGCTTTGTTTTTCCGTGCTCTGTGTTTTCGTTTTAATTTCTCTAGTTGTAGACAATTATCATTAATTCGATCTGGCACACGAATTGACCTTAATTACTCCGTTAATATATCAACAGGCTGTCCTTTTATGAAATATTAAAAATTCCCAGCTGATGCATTGGATCGCTGTAATACATGTACTACGTACACAATTACTGAACTAGTATACTTAAAACTTTTTCTATCACATGTTTGTTCTGTACATCTAATGTTATTATTTATATCAAATTGAACATGCCTGTAAACTTGTGGGAATTCTGTAATTATTATTTTCAGAAGATATAAATTATTAATTAAGTTTACAATTGCAGTAAATAACTATAGCTGATTCAGGCTGGTTGTATACAGCTTATAGTCATATGATATGAATTTTTCTAAAGGCTTTAGTCAAGATAAATGTCTTACGGCTTTATTGTAAGACTCTACTCACAAGATTGTTTGTAAGTAGCATGAGGTGGAATGTTGGTATCGAATTCGTCATATTCATCAAACGAAAAGCAGGGTTTCAGTACATCAAAAGTACGGCCTAGAAATAACACTTGATGACTAGACGAAAAGACAATTTGAATTACAGAATACATTGAAAGTTGCAAATGAATACTCAAAGGCTATGCGTTCGTATGATAGAAATCTTTTCTTTTGTTCAATATATGGAGTAAAGTTAGGAATAAATAAATATTCTGTTCTAATATTGGAATGAGTATCTCATTTCATCATGGATAGCATAGACATGTGAAATATACTAATCACTTCAACTTATTATCTTCATCAAAAAATCTGAAGGTTAAGAGTGTACATTTTTGTGAAGTCCTTAAAGAGAACAAACCTACTTAACAACGTATTATAATACTTATTAATTATTGGGTTAACTTCAAATCTTGACTAAAACTGTATTCAAACTACATTTAATAAATATCTAATTACAAGTCTTGACTTGTACTTATTTATATTCGATAATTTTGTTGTTTGATTATATTTTCCTTGAAAAAGCTTGGACCAGATTGCCAGTCGAAACGTTGGATTTACTTAAAATTCATTCGCTGAGATTTTACAAATATATATTTTTCCTATTTAATGACTCACATTAACTCGGCGCCTAAATATTGTGAAACTATTCGTTCAAATTTAGACGAAAGTTCTTATTTAAGATTTCAAATGGTTTATAAATTTATTGACCATAGACGAAGTATGTAAATCATTAGTTAAACAATTTATATATTTACTATAATAAGTCAATTGAAAATAGGAAATCATTTTTATTAGAATGAATTCAATGTTTTACCAATGACTTTTTTTTAAAAAAAAAGTGGTAAAATGAAACAGGATAGTAACATGAAATCTGATCTAGTTAAATTTATTATATTAATATTTATCATTTATGTGAACTATACAATAATAAAGTGTAAATCATGTGTCTATGAATTTTTGTTTTGTTTTTGTTTATTTTTAATTTAAACTATTTAAAATTGCCACTATCATAATTTGAATATGAATGTGATTTGTTAAAATAATTTTTATGAAACAATATAAATTTTGATGTGTTTATATTTCACATGACAACGAATAACCCCCTTAGGATCTAATTCAATTTAAATTATATTTACTGAGTATATTGTATAATTTATTATTCATTATTTATCAACAAGTATGTTATATGCAAATTCAGTAAATGAAATATAATGGTTATCAGTATCCATTGTGAAAATGCCACTTTCATATAATCAAGTTAAATTGTATATATTTTAAGAGAGTTTTATGTTTTATCATAGACTCATAATCTGTAGAAATTATAGAGATGCGATTCATCAAGATTGAATATTTTAACAATAATATACTTACAAAACAGAAACAAATACAATCAAGTGAGCCAATAAGAGCAGAGGATAAATATTCATCATCCTCTATTGTTAAACATATAATCGAAACAGGCCATAGAATTGATCTAAACTCGGCTTTTGTGGTGTTGTATAAAAGTGTAAAAGGGTGTATACTAAGGTTTATTGAAGCTTTAACCATACGAAAACTCAAACCCCCTTTGTGTATTCAAAAACGGAGCACAAAATTAACATTAATACAACATTTGGAATGTTGTATAGAACATGTCAAGGTCGAATTCTTAAGTTTATTGAAGCCTTGGCTATTCGTAAATTTAACCCCCCCTTATGTGTACAAAAACAATTTGTCGTAACCTTGAATTTACCTTGGTAATCTTTAAGTCATGCTATGGCCTAGGATAACGCAACAATTTCTTATTCTTTCTCTCCCCTTAGTTATTTTAATTGTACTCTCATTTGTTTGACCTTTATTAATTTTCATATAAAAATGCCCTGATAAGTATATGTGTGACCAGATTGTTCGAAATGTATAGCGCTAATACATCACATTTTCAGATCAACTCCGTCTTCTTATTGTTCTATAGGAATTTATAAAAGGGACTAATTGCTTTAAACCTAATTAAAACATAATCCAATCTATACATGAGATGTTTTAGAATAGTTAAGCGTAAGAAGTGTGAAAGATATACATAAATTATGTTGTGTTATAACATCCTGGTCTACTATAAAAAAATCGAAATCGAAACTTATAATAAAAGAGCTGTAAAATGGTATTTCACAATTTTAATGTGTATTTTCTCAACAAAAAAACCTGTTTTTAGATATTTTACCAAAACTTTTCATAAGTCATTTGTCATTAAATAACCAGTCTTGATGATGAAATAATGATAATAATAATCAATTAATGAAACAGAGATGACTTCAAACGATTTTCATTTACAAGTTGAATATTACATACTTTATAATACTAAATAATTGTCTATTAAAGCTGAAATACTTCCATGCAGTGTTATCTAGTATAAGAGATTGAAGGTAAATGAAAATTATTGGGTAGTATGGAACTTCTAGGCAACGTTCACCATTGATAGCGAGAAGTATATTGCAATTCGACGATCTATATGTCCATATTTGATTAATTCATAAAATAGTCCAATTATTCAATACAATTAATAAGTAAAGTAAATGTCTAACTTGCAACATAGTTGGACTTGATCAGTTATGATTAAAAAATTGGAAATTCAATAGCCTATGATTGTTTAATAGTTAAAATATTTGTAGAAATGAATGTAATTTTGACAATGGTTTCTGTAAAGGATTTATTGTTTATTTTCTTCAAATAAGCTAAAGCTTTCAATGCACTCTATTCAATTTATATAATTAAAGGACTATAATAAATGAATTATGTAATAATAACAAAGTACATTCAAATTGATAAATTAATAAAGTAGCATGCACTGTACTTTAAGTATAAGGAGGAGGATAGAAAATGTTGACGAATATATGAAGTAAATAGTAATAATAAGTTGCGTAAATCCTAAGAATATAATTACGTATTTGTATACTAATCGAAGAAGTTATTGACCAATTTAAGCAAACTTGTTAAAAGTAATATAAAACAAGAGTTGTTCATAATTTTACACGTAAATATACATATATATATATTTTCTCTTATAAACAGTAACAAAAAGAAGTTTGTCTAAATGAAAGTGTTAAATATAAGACAATTAATATTAATCATATTTTTAATTATTCGGTCACAATGTTTAGGATATATTATGTTAATGTCACAAGACAATAGCAGATATCAGCAATACCTACCAACTACTTTAACTTACTATACTACTGAAGAGGATATTATTTCAGGTGAACAGCCATATTATGAAGGAACCGGTGAAACATATGACGCTTATCAAGTAATACCGTATGGATATGTTGTTGACGAAGATTATATTAGTAATAATGGTGTCGAATATGAAGACACTGGAACTAATTTGAACTATTTGCCTACTTCAAATTATCAGGTTAACTATGATGACATTGGTCAATACTATGGACCAGTTGAATACAGTGGTATGTATAATGATTATGCAGGCCATGATTATAATGCTCAATATGATGAATATTATCCAAGACAAGATGTATTAGTTAATTATCAAACAAGAACGGTTGGAAGACATGCTACTGAAGGTCAATATAATGATCATTATGAAAAAAATTATTACGGGAATGGAGACAATTATGAAGATAACCTCCACAATAACTATGATACATATAATGCTGAGAATAATGTATATGTTCGTGATTATTCTAATCTACCTACAACATCATATAAACATCAAAAGTATGTACCCCATAGTTTAGTCTATTTAAAAGATTATTTTCCAATTGATGATAAATTATATGTATTTTATCCCAAAAATCTAAAACAAAAGTATTATACTCTTCGTACAATTCGACTTAAACATGGTCAATTTAGTCCATATTTCTCAAGTAAATCAGCGAAAAGAAATCCAAATGGAGGTTTTAAAGAAATTCATCCAAAATCAAATACAGAATATCCTCATGGTTACAAAAATTTGGGAATTAATGATTATAATAAAAATGATTATTATTATTATACTGAATCAAGTGAACCATCAAATTATATCCCTTCAAATTATCATTCATACAATAGAAAAGTGAACTATAAACCAATAGACATATATTCATCAATAAATTATAACCATGGTAAAAATAATAATCGTGCCAAAGCACTTTATAATAGTATTACTAATAACAATAATTATAACCCATATAAATATTCATCAAAGCAAGATTATAATGATTATATTGAGGAAAATAAACTACAAGATGATATATTTCTATTTGGTGATGCTTTAAAAACAACAGATTATGAAGAATCAATCTCATATCATCATAGTGGTAAACAAGATCCAAAAGGTAAAATTAGAAACTATTTCAATTATGATATCTATGGTAGAATGAAACATTCTGGCAAGTCGAAATTCGGTGGTGGAACTAAAAAATATCATACAGTTATTGATAGTGATAAAAGAAAGAATAAACATTATGTTACATATCTTCCATAAATTAGATAATAATAATATAAATCAATATAGACATTGATATAATGGTTAATACTTGTCAATCATATCTAGGAACATTGAAAGTTCTGTATGCATCATATGAACAAATGAAATGATGACGAGCATATATTGTTTACTAATTCAAATTCAATTGTAAGATTTATATGTTTGTATTTTTTCTTAATAAACAACCATTATCTGTATTTATCTTATTATTATAACATTCAAGTAGTATGTATTAGAAAAGGTTGATTTCTTGTTGTAAGTAATTTTAATTAAACATCATTGAAAACTATGAAGTATTCAATAAATGTCAAATTCAATGGTCAGTGGCATTCTTACTCTTAATTTGATTGACTTTATAAAAATTTCGACCCTCTTACTTGCTTAATATATTTATTTATTTATTTTCCAGAAAATATATTTTTCCATTGATGATGTTAAAAAATTGCAAATGATTAGACTTTCCTTGCTGCCATCATATGTATCCTGAGCATTGATGTTTAGGACTGTAATCGATCAGTCTCTTATTAGGATATGTGCATCCTGTGATGATTGACTTAAGTCACAAACATTATAAGGAGGAATGGATAATGGCTAGAGATACACAAGTTAATAGCTATCAGAAGTTAAGTGAAAAAACGCAATGGCGTTTGAAGAGTACGGCGATGGGTTTGATTTTCAGAGTGAACATCAACCCATCTGACGAGCCCATAATAGGACGAGACGCGAGTCCTGGATTCCACTACTAACCAACGTCCATGAGTGAGTTTTGTTCTCCGTAAAGTTAAGGTTTATCTGATATATTCAATGATGACTATATTACAGGCATCAATTAAAATGATATATAAAACCAGTTCCAAGTGACTCACTTTTTGCACAACACACGAAACAAGTTTCAGTGTAGGGTTGTGTAGGTTTTTAAGTTTTACTGAAATCATGTACCAATAAATGTTAAACAACCATTGGAAACCTGATCGGTTAATGATTTCAGTGAGAGTCAACAATCTCCACAATTCTATGCTGTTAATTACCATGTGCTCACTGGTGGCTAGCATTGACAGGGAATTCTTAGAGTTCCTGTGAGAAGCCAGTATCAGTGAAACTCAACCCTATCGGGGTTGAGGTAGTTACCCACCGAATACAATGGAAGATGGTCGCACAATACCGTGAACTGATTGATGTTAGACATTAATACAGCTGAATGCCGGCTCAGTAGTTTGAAGGTTAAGCGTTCGCGTGCTAGACCGGAAGTTTTGGATTTGATTCCTGCGTGCAGGGTCGTGGATGTGAATTACTGAGAGGTCCCGCACTAGGATAGAACGCCCGTCGAGTAATTCCAGGTTTTCAATGGTGGTTTAACTTTGATCGGTTCATGATTTCAGTGAAACGAAACAAGTGATTGAATGAACAGAGATCAATGGAATGTAAAGATCTAAGAGAACCGATATCGGACAACATAACGAAATACAGATAAAAATGACTTAGATGATATTAGTATCTACTGCACACGTTTCCATTTCACTGTAATCAGTCTCTCAGTGGACTATTTACTTCATATGAATTCGGAAGTCGCATATCTTCAACAGGGTTTATAAGAAAAGCATTTTTATAACAAGAAGATAATAAAAAATGATTTTATGACAGTTCAATTAGATGTATTTTGTATAAGGAGGTTAGGTTAAATGATTAAATGAGGATGAAAAGAGCAGTATTGTTGTCTAAGATATAAGTAGTATATGAGTAATATTTACTATTAATAGTGTCTTAGGTAGTGCAAACAGCGGTCTTGAATAGAGGACATTCAAAGGATAATAATAATATTGTTCAAAGCATGTTGCAATATCCAAAGAACATTTCAGATCAGGCTACTATTGTAATTGTACAATAGGAATAAAGTTTTTGTTGTAAGTAGTAAAGCTTTTACAACGAATTAAGGAAGATTTGTGGTTCAGGTGATTGATTTTATGGAGTTTCGTTGTATGAGATGGGTTGTACAGTCGTACAACATTATCCTTCTGGATGAGATCAACAGCACACAAACTTCAGATGGTGAGGAATTCGAGTTTCTGCAAATTTCGTCCAGAAGGTTAGTTAAAGGTTCACAATTAAACCAACAAACCCAGAGAAACTTCAACAATTACGGTTATTTTGTCCCACTAAATATATGGGTTGGTTTAAATCGAATTACATTAATAAAACTGTATTTCTATATGTTAAAATGTGAGTCCGATTTTGAGTCCTGTTGTCAACTGGTAACGAATACTCTTTCCTTTAAAACTAACATAATTCTCGTTAAGTAAGGAAATATTCTATGACGTGAGATAACTATAAGGAGTCATAGTGACAGAAAACGTCCACTAATTCATTCGTATAAACTGTCTTCTCTCAGATACAATTTTTTCACTTTAGAAGTGTTAACCAGTACAACAACTGGAGTAGAAGAATGTAAACTTAATTCATTTCATAGATTGTTTACTATCCCAACCAAACTATTTATGACAGTAATTGAGAGACTTAATATAATTTAACAGTTCCAATTATCCACTTGACAAAAAAACGCGACTAAAACTGATCACATGAAAGCTTCACATATCAAGAGGTAGATTCTGAAAAAACGAAGACTGGTCAAGAAATATTTAGTTTCAGATAGGATTTATCAAGCCAAATGATAGATTAACTGAATTACGTACCTAATGAAGTTCACCCCACATATTCTCACATTGTCTTACCTTGATTTGTAATTACACCTTAACTAAAGTTTTGTTTACTCAGACAATCAGGAAATGTAGCTTCGTTCAAATACATAAAATGACTAAATTTGCTTTCTTTTAACAAATTATATTATGCCTTGTATTTTCAGTATATATAAATACATGAATATAGAATAAATTAGTATACATATTAAACTACATGATAGGCTTCTTAAACTATTCAGTGGAAAAGTATTTTTATTTAAACATGCAGCAGCGTTTAAAGAACAAGCTGTAACTTCACTATTTATCAACACTACTGACCAATTAGCATTTAATATGAACTAAACAATTTCAGACGATATCCTCTGTTAATATTTAACATATGCATATAAGAATCTTTGAAGAATAAGTCAACCAGTTTGTTAAAAATCAAAACATGCAAATAAATTGAATGACAAATAGGGAAAAGTAGACAAATAGAATTCTTATTAATTATTAGGATATACTACTAATTCTTTAGTTTTTCAATACTTGATATTAAAAAAAGTCGTTTTATGGGTTGTAGATCACTAGTTAAATCACTGAATTCTGAAGGATTATAGCAAAAGTACAAACTTACCCTTGAGTACACAAGGAAAATGATCATGTCATTAACTGTGTACAGTTTAAAATATCTAACAGAATTATCTCTTAGAATAGAATGAATAATATGTAATGACTCCTTATCTGAAGAATGTAATAGCTCCGATCAGCTGCATAAGACAAAAACCTGATACGATACTATATATATATATAAATTATAACCCAAAATGAACACGTAAATATTTTATACAGATTTATAAACGGATAGTAAGGAAATTTAAAAAAAGAATTAAACAGTAAACCAAGATGAACGTAAGCAATAGTTTCAATACAAAGTTCAATTACAAAATGAGGAATATTCTTGGTATAAAAAAAATGAAAAAAATATTTCAACAAAACACATAGTACTATGTCCAGTGAATTTACAACAATATCAGTAGAACCATTTTCTTACCGTTCATTATTGTTACAATTATGCAATCAATAAATCAAAGCGAAGCACATCAACATTCATAGGCAGTTATAAGTGACAAATAATTATGAAAGATGAATGGGAAATAACTTATACAAGAAAACAAAAGTTAAATTTTTGTAGACAACCAATGTATTCAATTCTGAAGAAGAGAATTTAAGTGTATCAATTCATTTTAGAAATAAAACCTCCCCTGATTAACACATTCTATGAATAAATCTACCAAGAAGTAAGTAAAGAGGAAGATATACAAAAGAAAATTATAATTTGAAAATCATAATACAATAAAAGAATATTTGATTGTTATTTCAATGAATTAATAAATATGTGTACAAATACATGTCAACTTTAACAAAACATACAACAGGCAATATGATTGCAACAACTACAACAATATAGAATACAACTGACTAAATTAGATAAAAAGAATATTAATTAGGTAAGTAAAGAAAAAGAATAGTATACTTGAACTCAGTGTAAAAGTACTATTAATAATTATTATACAGATATTATATATATGTGTTCATTTGAAAAGGTTTTGTTTTAATAATTAAAAAAACCAGAAATTTGGTTAACCGGGAGATCATCGTTTATTTTTTCCTCTTCCTAAGTATAAAAAACCTTTTCGGAGTCGAGAAGACAAGTAAGGCAGTAAACAAATAAGGAGTAAGAGAAAGATGAAGAGACATGTAGTTTATGATATAACCATTTAAAAATGTGACTAGATTTAAAATTGAACAGAAAAGAATGTTTTTTTTCCTTCATAGATAAAGCAACTATCATTAGTCATAATATCTAAGTCGAATAAACTGTAGATAATGTTCAGTAGAGAAATATGACAAAAGAAAGCAATAACAACGAGTTTTACCAAGTAAATTAATAAGAAGGCAACTTAGAAAGAAGAGGAATTTGTGTTACAGTGATAATACAAACACATAACAAACACTCGAATATCATCAAATAAAAACAGTGTGGATATTAAAACAACAACAACAACACATAACACTAATTAATACCGACAACAACATATTCGAACATAATAGAGCAAAGCAAAAGTATTGATGCAAACCAGCTAGATTTTTCTTTAAAAAAACAGGTTTGAAATGACTAACGTTTTTTTAAAAAATAAACACTGTACTTCAAATGAACATTACAAAACAATATGTTTCAATGTGTCAATCTCTCCAACTTGTAAACAACAAATCAATGGTGAGTTAAATGAACTAGATACAGAGAAGAAAATGATAATGATCATTTAGATAAGATCTTAATATTTATATATAAATTAATTGAAGCACAATCAAAACAGAAGACTACACATACGTATGTAGATCTGTCAGTTGACTAGTCATCACAAACAATAAGAAACACCAAGTCACAATGAACAAACTAACGTGAATTACAAAGAAGAAAAAAAAGAACAAATCAAAATGTAATGAACAAGCAAAAAGACAAGTTAACTGATTGATTTGGGCGTACACAACAAGCTAATAGGTGTGTAGTGTGTGTGTGTGTGTGGGGACAATTGTTTGATTTATGGACAGAAATTAAAAAGAAAACTTTTCAATTATTATTTTCAGATAAACGATTGCGATGTGGATGAACCTCAGCTTGCAATGGTTCCGATATTAGACCTATGAAATAAAATAAATAATTTATCATTTATAAATATATATACGAATAAATCTATAAAATGTACAAAAATACAAATAAAGTGTTTATTATTTTTTTTAAAAAAAGATTATCATTAGTTGAATGATTTAATTAACCGAAATTAATAAAATCATAAGGTTAATATACATTGCTGAAGAGTCCCATACTAGGATAAAGTGGCCGTCCAGTGCTTGCAAATTTTTAATAGTGGTCTAACATCGATCGATTCATGATTTCAATCAAAAACTTACCAATCTCCACAATCCCATACTGAAGCAACAATAATAGTTGAAAATGAAAAAGAAACCTACGGAGGAGGATTACGAATGAATTATCATCAGATTGAGTTTTAAGCGGAATAATATATAGTAGCATTTAAAGAAAACATGTACGTTCTCAGTTTAAAGATACTTAAGATTATTTAACGATTTTAACAATAATAAAAGAAGATATAATACTAATTAAATTTTTCATAAATCATGAACGAGATGGTTAGTTATTAAACAAAAATAAGTGTACTTCAACCCTCCCTCATGCAAATAATCAAGCTGATATGGATAAAGATCGATTACAGTGGTGCAGATGTATCCACTATTTATAAGTTAATAGGTGGAAAGTTTAAAATTATATTTTATTAATCCCTTTCAAACTGAATTGTCATGTTTACTTCTAAACTACGATTGTAAGTAATATTATTTCGAATCGATTAGTTTATAACTCATGAGTTACTCAATGATCAACCAATTTTACATACATCTCTGTCTCACAAGGGGTCAGTCGCGACCTGAACAGCTCATCGGTAACATCTCTGACTGTGAAGTTGGGTGACACAGGGTTTATTATTATTTTTAGTTATCCACGTTTAATGACAAGTTTAGTCTAGGCCCGTGATTTGATTACATTATGAACGGACGATGAATGAACCGTGACCATAAATTCTCCATTTGATTTGGCATATTCTACTTAGATATTAATAAAAAAGCAAATACGAAATAAGTTAGACGAATTTCTTTCAAACACGAATTGACTCTGACAGACGTTAAGATGAGAGATACAAAGCGGAGGAGAATGTCTCAACTCAGTGAGTAATATGTGATTCATTTCTGATAAGTACGAAAGTGACAGACACCACGTACTAGCATACAAGCATCGTCATGGTCACATGCAAGTAATTGGCAAGGTCATACATATGGATGATAGGATAATTAAAAAAGATTAGACTAAGTTTTCTGTACCAGGGTTAGAACAAATCACGTAGCGATGTGATAACAAAATTTTGGTATATTAGTACTGTGATTATTAAATACATATATTCAATATTGTGAACATCGATGATGAGGACTAGGAAGTACGACAGTGATACAATTTCTATTGATAACATTCTAAATTTCTGTTTACAGAGAAGTTAAAGAATTTTTAATGCATTATTACCATTAATCAAGTAAACCTTAATGAATATTAACATTATGCACAGTCGAAGAATAGAAAAGCTTAAGACTATAAAATACAAAAAAAAATATTAATTAGTTGTCGCATGAAATAAATATATACATACAACAATGCTTAACTTCGGCTTGAGGTCAAAGATTGATAACCTTTAGTAGGAAAACTCATATAGTGTAGAATAGACAAGAAAATAAGCAATTTACGAGTCAATTCATAATAGAAAAACAAATCAATTGGGAATATGATGTGAAAGAAATTTCCAGTTACTGCCACTGTTTGGTGTTAGAAGATAATGCTCAAAGTTATGAAGGGTTCACGTAAGAATCATTTATGAGATGATTATGGAGTGAGTTATACTATCAACTACACAAAGTATATACTTTCAAAAAGCATCATCAACCATTATATTGTATGACTATTGAAAAAAGAAAGTAGTACACTCAGTGGTTAAATTCACATATACCTAGTCAACTCTGATCGGGTGACCCAACAATATTATTTACAAGACTTAAAAAACTAGCTTAAAAGGATTGCGGATAGGAATATTGTAAACAGTAGAAGCATTAGCAATCCATTGTTACAAAAGTGGTCGGTATTCAGAAGACGTCGAATACTTCATTTTACCTTGAACCTAGAACGTGCTTCTACGTTTGGGAGTTTGTACTCTTTGTTTGTTACTTAAAAAAAACACTTTAAATATTTATTTAAGCAGGTAATTATATTTTAAACTTCTAATTCAAAATTTATCTTCACCTTATTTCACTTTTACCTCATCGTTTACGAAATATTGAGAAAATGAGTGCGATTTCCAATTATATTTTAAATAACACAATATTTATCTACTATATCAAAAACTTAGTTGTGCGTATGAAAGAAGATTTTGTGGGGAAACCAACTTACTTTTTTATTCAAAACCATGGCCTTTGTAAAGTATGGAAATCAGACATTAAATACATCATTTGCACATCTTCCTTCGCTCGTCCTTTACACACTACATCATTCTTCCATTGTAGTTGTTATTCCTATTGCTCCCAGTTTTCCCCACCTTTCTCTTTGTTTCAATCTTCTTTTGGTAAGCACTTCATTCCCAGTTCCTACTATATACTACTTATGCTTTTCCACATGAACAGTGCACACCATAATAATACTTTAAGTACAGTCAAAAAACAGTACAAAATAAGACAAAACGATAAAATGACAAGATACCTGCTAGAATTTCATCCATCATTCCATCTCCTGTAATCTGTCTAGTACGATTTTTAAATCGTCGTTTAGCCAACCGAGCTTCTTGTGCCAAACGCTTCTAAAATAAGAAGAATAAACAATCGCACTCAAGTGCTACAAAGCAGAGAAAAAATTTCTGATTCCACACAGAAAAAAATGTGAAGATCAATCTTTTCAAGGCAAAAACAATCATTTGATTTAAAAGCAGTAATTATGAGCGCGAATCAGGAAACCAACTTACTGAGATAAAAATGAAGGAAGTGATTACATCTAATTCTATAAAAAGTCACATTGAAGTACGAAGACAAATGTGAGCAATAAAATCATACTACTTACTAGTAGGCTGAAAGTCACTAATTAAATTCACCACGTAAACGAGATCGAATAGTTACGAACTTCAAAATAACCAAATGAACCAAACTTGTATATTTATCGAAATCATTTGGACAGACTACAAAAACTCAGTTTATAAGCAAATGTGTTCAGTTCGATAAAATTAAAGTGAATTTTCATATTTTAACACCTATAAATTATTGTTTTAAAATCAAAAAGTGTTCTTATAAGAAAAACGATAGTAAAATGAAGATCCAGCCCTTAAATATTGAAGCAATCACCTAACATACTGGATGAATTGAAATTGCATTGCACAATATACTGAAATTCGTTAAACAGTAAAACAGGTCGATAAGATGTGTAAAATAAGTATTCATATGGATTATTCTATGTTGTCATAAGTAAATTTGGTGAAAATATAACCCTGGATTGTATGAAGTGTATTAGACTTTTCATAATAAGCCGTAATAACTAGAATTAAGGAATGTAACTGGGTGGAGTAGAAACACTACTACGGTTGAGATCACTGGTAGTCTCAATTATTATTTACCAAATTTAGTCTAAGGAAATACTAGTTAGTTAGGAGCTTTTTGCCTTCGAATATGGAGTTTTATGGTTGAATGAACTGAGAATGACTTGGTGTAGGGAAATTAACAGTAACTTCAGTACTCGTACAACATGATATACATCAACAGAGTTGTGCTTGCAATTGATCTAACACTGTGGCTTATATTTAATTGATAACAGTGTATACATATATGTCCTTGAAAGATCACTATTATGCAGTACATTTAATCTATATTCAAATAAAATATACAGTAAAGCCTAGAGGTGTTTTGATAGGAAGAATAACTGATTTACAAAACGAGTAGCTGAAACGAAATTCTAAAAAACGTTGACACAGGTAGGGTATGTTTTTGTGATGTAAACAGAACTAGAAGTGAAAAGCATACAACGATTAACCGAATTCGCTCTTAAACAAATGGATATAGTAATCCTCTCAACTAAATTTCACAACACAGTTGAATCAATATTCTTACGCATTTGAATACAAAGTTATGTGTGGTCTTGTGCAAATCAAGTAACCGTAATAAAAAAACATCAGTTACACATAGTATAGTAAGTTGGTGTCAAATATATAGATTTTTGCAAAAGTACGAAAATATCATACAGAACTGTCTAGAACAGATTATACTGAAAAGGATAAACATAAAGAGGAGAAATCCAAAAAAGTTCACCATAAAAACCGAAACAGTGAACAAATAACACAGTACTGAAAGTATTCAATTGATATACTGACGTATAATAGTTTTAACATATCGGAGTATAGGCATGCCTATTAGTTAGAGAGAAGTGATGATTACGACTAGTGTCACTTTCAAATACGTTACCATTGAGGTACACTGAGTGTAGAAATTAAGCTTCCATAATTGAAATAAGCCCCATAGTCATTTTATGTGCATGAACAGAACGAAACATAAACAAGTTACTTAGTAAAGTTTGGCCTAGAATAATCAACCTCACTCACTAAATAAGTAATATTGTTTATAAAAAAACCCCACTTTGCTACATTGTCAGCAGTGGTTTTATCGATATTAGGTCGATAGTAATAGTTGTAGAAACAATTACCTTCAAGTTAGTTAATATAATCTGATCACCGTATAATCTACCATTAAATGATCCCGAAAATTAAAGATTGTTCTGTTACCAAAAGAGAAAAATAGTTTGAGTAATAAGTAGTCTTTGTAAAAAAAGACGGAAAAACGCTCCATTGTGAAGAATACAAAAACATTAATGAAATTATTATAGGTAAAATACAAGAACATAATCGACAAATTATTGATGATTTTCAACCACCCAGTGAACCGTTTAAAAAATTGAAAATATGAAATACAACACTGAAAATATTTGCGAAACACCTAATAGCACTTGAAAACTATTTTACAATTATTGATTTGTCTTTATTGGCAAAAAACGTTGACAGATTACAAAGGGAAGCAGTGATCAGTACAGTACAATCAAGTCAGTTATGAAATAGTTATACATCACAGTCAAGAGATGGTGGAAAAATATCGTTAATTGATTAAAGGTATATATATATACATCATTCATTCGCAGCTCAGTATTCTAGAGGCTGTGTTCGCGCGTGATACTCAAGGTGTTGGGTACGATTCCTGGATGTGGTGTCGTGGATGAGCACTGTTGAGGAGTACCCTACTAGATTGAAACAATTATCCAATGCTTCTAGGTTTTCAATGGTGGTTTAACATTGATCAGTTCATGATATAGAAAGCATGAAAATTACAAAAAGTTAAAAATGTTCAATAACCAACTAAGCGAAGAACAACGAAGTTTTCCTGACTGTAAAACATATTATGAAGAAACATTTCACGCACTTTCTAGGATATTCTTTGAGTTCATCCAAGACAGTTTTGGGCAAGTCGCCAACACAAGCACTTCGTATCAGTCAGTTAAATATAATGCAGAACGTGGCATATATGTACGTCGGCCCAGGTCGCTACATGACATTACCACAACAACAATACTAAGGCAAATCCCAAAGAAGCAGAAGTAATGACAGTATCGTTAGTAGTGGAAAAGTTATGAAGAAATATGGGGTTCAGGATTTAAGAGAAAGCACAGTGTGAATGGATCTGCGCCATTGAGAACAATTCGTTGCCATGTCATCCAAAGTCTGTAACCATTGGTTAAGGTAATCACGTGGACTTTAAACAGATAATCTGACAGCACTCAATAAGAATATTTCAAATAAACAGTGACTTAGTGGTTAGGGTGTTTGACTTTCAGACACGAAATCATACGTTTGAACCCTGCTACACCTACTTCAGTTTAGTGACTCGGAGTAGTATCAATAACTCACACACTTCTAGTATGACTGAGAGACAACCACATGAGTCTACAGCTGACGCGTTAACAGAAAAAGACATCTGCGTATGATCAAATTGAGATAACAGAATTAAAACAGTAAACATAATACACAGAGACAACAGTAGTTAAGCAGAACACCAATTCAAATGATGCGATCCAATAAACAAATGGCAGACACATATTTACAATTCATAATTAAGAGTGATATGGAACAATTTAAAAAGTTATCTGTTTATAGTAATCAATTTGTACATTTTGTGAATTCAACTAGACGACAATTACTGCTCAACTAAATAGTTTAGATTACAGTAAATTTCTGATCATTTATATGGAAAATTATTCAACGCACAGTATTTAATTCACCGAAAACGATAACAAAAGAAGGATGATGCAATGAAGAATTGGAGAGCTAAATTAGTAGTACACAAAATTACCTCATTAGTAAATTTAGGTAACTTTAAAAGAGATTAAATTTGTTTCTCTGAAATTATACAAAAGTTGCAGTAATATACTAGTTAAAAGCTTTTTTCTCTAAAGAATTACAAATTATAAATGGCAACATTGCAATGGTTTTTCCGTAAAATATTTAGAATGTCAATATCAGTAGAGAGAAGATACAATGGAAACTTCTATGATATTATTACAGACACATGATGAGTAGGGCAAGTAATTAGCACATACACGATCAGATAAAAAACAATCAGAATTAATAAAACAAGTGACAGAGTAAAATGTGGCTTGAGAAGAATGAATAGATTGGACTACCCAGAGGTTAGAATAACTCATGTGGGCTTGACGTAGTATCAGCCCCTACACTTTGTTTACTGCTTCAGATTATTTGAATCTCAATTACTGGATAAATAAGCGGAACGTGATTTTGACATTTATGAAAGACTTTACCACTAACATTATTTCCCATTTCACAATAAACGTAGCAGTTTGCCTATTAAAAAATTCGGGGACGTGTTACAACATCGGAATTTAAACCATTATAATTTTTATATAGGTTCGTGTCTATTTATTTATACAAACAATAGATTCTATTAAAAAATGTGTGAATTTGAAAATAAAAGTAAACAGGAAAACACCGTCAGTTTATATTAAATGTTAGGGTTCATCATCTTTACTGACGTAAATGTCGTGGGAAGCTTGGATAAGAATACTCGTGTAAGTTGGACTGACATAAATAAAACTAATTTAAAATTGATTATGGTTAAATATCAGCCTATTTTAGACCTATCAAAAGGATGCACGTGGATGTCAGTGCTGATGCCCAACATTGGGACTTCAACCTAGTATAGTGAGCTTCAAGCACTCGACAACAGTAGAAATATAATCCTTACTAATAATGATCTAGAACTCATTTACCACTAGTCAAACATTGTTTTAAATGATGTAGAATAGATGGAATGTAGCTGGTAGTGGAATACAGGACGCGTATTTCGTTCTATTTCGGGCTTGCCAGCCGGGTGTACTTGAATCCCAAAGTTATTGTTCACTCCGAAGCTCGAATTTGGTAGTGTTCGCTTCAAATGTTGTCGAGTGTTCGACTTAGCTACTGAGTCTAGAAAACCATTAATCTGTGAAATTAGAAATGGTTTAGATTATTCTGCTATCGATATTTTTACTGAAATTTGATTAGCCTTACTAAGCCACATTTTATCTATTCAATGTTAACTTGTGTCATAATGGCTATATCGAAGCAATCCACACCAGAACTAATCAAATTTCAGTTAAATATCCACAACAAAATAATTTAAACCATTTTAAATTGATTGAGTTACTTAAATTAGTTTACAAAAAAAGGAAAGATTAACATTACCTAGAATATCATTGAACAGATTAGAAGTATATCTTGTATATAGATACATGATAAAGGCATTATTACTGGTCACTATTAACTAATCAGTACCCACCTTGTAGAAAAATACACCAACACTAATACGCATTTAAAATGTCTTTTTTTATTAAAAAAAGAATTCAATATTAACAATCCACCAGTTAAACACATCAAAATAAAACAAAACTAAATATATAACACAAATGCACCGAAAAACATTTAGACTAGAACTATTGGATACAATAATAATGTTTACATTACAATTGAGCAAAATGATTTTATTTTAAAATTACGACTTGTTCTGTTTGTTTTAAATAGAAGAATGAGTCAGTCAGTGGAAGTGGTGATGCTGATGTGAAAAATAGGCCAAATTATGATAACAGAATTAAAAATTACAATTGTAATCATTTATGTAATGATATTCATCATTAACTATTATTAAAATAAATATGCATGCATAGGTTCAATAGGCAGAATTCAAACAAACCTGTAACTCCGATACAGGAACATCCTGATAAATAAATGGATAATATTATTAATAAGAAATATTGATGAAAAACAATTTAGTGAATAGGTTCAATCGTAAGAAAACCAGTGTAGGAAAGAACTAATACCAAAAAAACAAAACTGTGTGTAAGGGAATAAGGGAAAAAGAGGAAAGTTTTAAGTTAATGAAGGTGCGGTTATCACGGAATTGCGTACATTATCTTTTATTGATCACTGAGTAGTAAACAGTATCGTTTTTATTTAGTCCTTTAGTGTAGATCAAATTTTATCTGTGAAGATACAATGTGGTCATTAGTCTAAGTGAGTAGACATTACTTACTTACTCCTATTACTCCTCATGATGAAGAATAGGCCGCCTCTCAGCATTCTCAATCCAACGCTATCCTGGACAATCCCTTCCAGTTGCTAGTCATCTTTTTCATGTCTTCTTCCAATTCCAGACGTGGTGTTTTCTTCGGCCTTCCTCTTTTCCCTTTCCCTTCAGGATTCCAGATAAGCTCTTGCCTCATGATGCAGTTTAATGATTTCCTTAATGTGTGTCCTATTCACTTTCAACGTCTTTTCCTGATTTCCTCCTGAGCTGAAAGCTGATTTGTTCTCTCCTATAATAGACTGTTGCTGATGGTGACCGGAAGACAAGCATTGAGTGTCTTGTGTAGACAACTGTTTATAAATATTTGTACTCTTTTGATGATGGTTGTGGTAGTTCTCCAAAATTCAGCTCCATACAGTAGAACTGTCTTGACGTTCGTACTTAAGATTCTGATTTTGGCTTGGAGACCGTTGTTTTGTGTTCGATATGTCGTTCAACTGTAGGAATACTGTCCTTGCTTTTACGATCGTCGCCTTCACGTCCATATCGGATCCTACTTGTTCCTCGATGATGCTTTATAGGTACGTAAAAGATTCCACATCTTCTCCATCAAGTGTGATTGGGTTTGTGTTTTCTGTATTGTATTTAGGGATCTTGTGAGTAGACATAAAGTGTGCTATTTTGAGATGTTAGCTGGTTGGTATTAGCTGCCAAGGAGTACATGAAATCTGAAGGAAAATGATGCTCTCAGATAGATCCAAATTTGAGTCATTCAGCTATAAAGTCTGGGACGATACCAACTAAGTTATTGCGGCCGAGACTGATTTTCTGTGAGATTTCAAGTCCTTCACCTATAACAACCTAAGAACTAATGCACTCGAATCTATTGTTCAACTGACAAACCAACCTTTGTCAAATCAGATAAATGTCTTTTATGTACATCACTTATCACGAATCGTTAAAGTCTCGAATTAAATGTATTGTACAGTTATATGAGTGAAGAATTTATCCAAATTTCGATTTATCACAATGAATCAATGTAAACTATAGCAACAACTGTAAAACAATTCATACTAGATTCTACTTTGTCAAATTCATTATTATCACAAATGATTTAATTTGTATTATCAATTTTCGTATAAAAGTCGTATAACCAGTCATCATTTATACATGAATCACAATTCAAAGTCGAATAATCCCGTAGTAAACAAGTAAATAATAGTTAGTAATACATAGAAAAAAATTATTGGCACAAAAAAGGTAGAAGGTCAGATATAGTCAAAAATAAACAGAAAAAATGTGAGGAATTGACAGATATCAGTGCTGTAAGTCATAATAACATTGAGATTATAATTAACCTAAACACTGATGCATACATACAGATATAAGAATTTAGAATGATGTCAAATTGTAAGTTCATATGTATTTAAAACAGTCAACAGAAATACTAATGAGAAATTTTATAAATTTACCATTTTTTTCCCACAAAACCACCATTTTATATGATATTATACTGAATGATCACATCCAGTGATATTTCATTGAGTTTTAACTATTTTGTATTTCATCAAGTTAGTTGAATAACAATAGTTTATTTTTTGACCAAAAAAGTCGATAGATAATACACAATTACTACAGTTTCGTTCACTTTTTTATATTTTAGAGCACAACTTTAAGTGTTTTAATTAATAGTTGTAGAAAATACTAACTTGAAAAGTGAATTCCTTGGTAGATTAGAAATGAAACTGTAATAGTATTGGATTTACAGAAAAAGCTACAGTGTACAAGAGTAATCAGCAGATATTATTTACAGATTATTAATGACTGCATGAAATAGACAACAAGATTTAATAATTATCATTAATAATAATAGAAGGAAAATTCAGTGAGAGCTCAAAACAACCGTGATGAACTTTTAGCCAGTCTTTATCTAATCGATCAGAAAACAGCTTTTGTAAATGAACAGTTTATAGAAAAAAAAATCAAATAAAGCAAACAGATTTCAGATAATAAATGAACTTATTAAAGTCTTCTACAGATTACTCTGACTGGATCGATAAAACAACGGAATAAATTCGTCTTTATGGATACAGATAATCGACTTTCGAGAACAACTTTGAGGATTAGAATAGATTTTTAAATGTCGCATTGTCTCTTGTTAGGGTAAGGATTAGGGCTATAACGTAATAATGCTCTGTAGCCATATGGATGAATGGATTTTGCGAAAAAATTTAGGAGCCATGTTCATAAAGTATAGTGCCAACAAAATAAAAGTTTCATGGTTAAGATGAGGTCTTGTCGACTTGCCTATTGTGTACAGTTGACAAATAATTGAGAATTTCATATGTTGAACACTATCGTTTTCGCTTTGTGTTGGCGAAATAACCTTATTCGCTATGAGGATTATGTACAGGTATTTCACCTACTCGTTAAGCACGCCATTTGAACTTTTTGCAAAAGCCTGAGGGTCGTGCTCTCTATTTCGATAGACTCGTTTAGATACTTTACTTTTGTCAACGATATGGTAATGAAGATGGTTATATAATTAAATCAAGTATAGGACTACACTATAATTGATAAACAACAAGTTAAACACCAAATGCTTACATCTTTTGGTCTTTTTGGAATATGGTTGATTGAAATTTGATTGATTGATGATAATGGCCCATTATCATCACCGGTTACAGAATTTAAACTTTGAAGGGCTTCAACACGACGTCGTGCTTCGTTGTCGACTATTGCATTCTGAAAAAGAAAGACACACAAAACATTTTGCAAGCTACTTAAAAAAGTGGCAGAGCTATGTCGTATAAGATCTGGAGGTCTATTTAGCGGCTAGGCATTTTACTGATAAAAAACTATTAGGAAGTACCCGATGTAACAAAGAGTCAACAGTTATCACTAAAAAAAAGTTGTCAACCAGGTCATTATGTCTTTGATGAAACAAATGAAGCACTAATAAAACACTATAGATGCCCGTTAATTCACACACACAGAACACTAAAAATCGATAATTACAGTAAAATCTGTTTACAACTTTACCTTAAAAGTTTATGACAAAATACACAGATTATTATGCGTACACACAAGTACAAACGACACGAATTAAATCAAAATTATTACGTCATGATAAGTGATGAACACATAGCTGATTCAATAGTCGTTTAATAAGTTTATATAAAGCTCTAATCTTTAAATATATATTACCAATGATCAGAATCATTATTGTATATAATAAATACAACAATACTACTAACAAGGAAATACATTAATAATAATAGTAATAATAATAATAATAATTCAATATGTTTACCTTGAAATTCTTAATAAATCGAACAATTAAACTGAAAAATTGTTCTGGACTAGGTTTAATTTGCGCTTCACCAAACCATTCAATTGTTCTAGCAAACATATTACGTGCAGTTTCTGCTTGCTTTTCAATAGATTCTACTTTAGATTTATTATTCAATACAAAATCTGATAAACGTTGTGGTGTTTTCAATGAACCAAAAATAATTGTTTCTTTATCAGCTTGTGACATACCAGAAACTAATGCTGCTACATCATTTGTTAAAGCTTCTGTTGGAACTGTAAATAAAATAGAATTTTAAATAAGAATTAAATTTAAATGGGAAAAAAGAAAGGGGCGAATTAACACAGATGGGATTATCTTCCTTGATATGGATATAAAACTGCTAGAAATATTCAAATATTTAAATAACTAACAGAGAGATATGAATATCATACTGATTGAACAGGTAATAATTAGCTATGGGTTATATAATAGTATTTGAAATGACGAGTACAGGAATCAAGTTCTCATGTGAATAATAACACTAAGAACTATGTATATCCAACTGGCTTGTTCTGAATAGGATGAAATTAGCATCTTGGATTCCGTTGCTAGCCACAATCTTACTTTAACAAAAACTGATTGATAGTACTTTATACTATTTGTGTACGACAATTATGCTTTGACACATGATAATACCTTGGAAGTGTTTAAGGTAATTTGTGTAAATATTTGACTACAAACAGTTTCGGTTGTTTTACAATACAAGCTGAGGGGAAATAGAAAATGAAAGCTTTGAATTCAAAGCAATTTGGATAGAAGGAAGTTTTAACTAAATATAATAAAATGATGTTACGAGGCTTACAATAATTTTATTACACATAGTTTTGATTATTTAAGATTGACCATTTTACAATTTGAAGAAAGTAGTTTTTTGTCTATGGTTCATTGCATCACAATAACAAATGAACACCACACAGAAAACTCATTAAACTAAGTAATTAATACAAAAATATATTTCAAGATCAGTAATGCTAAAAGCAATCTGATTATCGATGGTAATGGAAAAAATATGTTTTATTATGCATATATAATATATGACACATTTAATGAACATCTGTTCGAATACATTAAGTGTTTCATGTGTACATCTTTATATATTATATATACATGGTAAGTGGGAACTAAAGTCGAAGTATAGATCAAAATAGTCAATGCTAATTCTAAGAATAATAACAAGATATAATACTTTCTTCAATTAAGTGAAAATGTAAATTTTAGGTTGAAAATAAAAACTATGTGTTTAGGAAAGATTTAAGATAAGCTATTGAATGTTGACAGTATGAGCTGAACACATACTTGTCTACATTAAACTGGAAGACTAACCAAAGGAGTATATTTCAAATAAATTAAGTAACTATAGAATATAGCTGACACAGAAGTAGTGAATATATTCAATAAATTATACTTTGAGATAAAGTGTTAAGCGAGAATTGAAATGAAAAACACTTATCGCAAATAAATTAATTGGAAACAAGGTTTATAATGTACAAAGTTATCGATCAAATCTTTATATAAATGCGATAACATATAATCTTCACAGAACGACCCCATGATTCAGTAAATACGCAATTCAGCAGCCTTATATACATGCAGAATAAGTGGCTCTCAGTGACATTATTAACTGATATTAATAAGTATAAAAGTAAAAATATGGTATTAGGATGCAGACTGTGCATAACTCAATGAATCCATAGTTGAATGATCATAGTACTATAATATTTGTCGATTTGATTACAGTATGAAAAGCACTTATCAGATATCACATATGAGATATAGAGTAGTGCATAGTAGGTGGTAAATTATAGTATTTTAAATAGAAGTAATAATATGATATAATGGAAATCTTTCAAGAGTCTAAAAACACAATAGCTATAAAATACAACAACGAAAAAATAAAACGAACAAAAAAATGTTATAAATACCCACAGGGTGACTAAACTTTACTATTAATAATAAAATAATGGTATATTTGTAATATACTAAAAAGTGGGAATTAAAAGGCTTGGCATTTAGTGATTTAGTGTAAGGCACTTTTGCAGAGTACTTCGGAAAGTTAGGAATATAAAAAATATACCATTATTTCATGATTAACATTCTATCCAATTCTCAAATTATGTTTAACCATGGTAAAAATACTTATAAATTCTATAGAATTATATAAGTTAAGGTGAAACTAGATATAAGCAACTGTTTCCAAGCTCAGTTAATTCGACAAAGAAGATGCTGATATAAAGAATTATAAAGTATAAGTATACAGTAGTTAAAAAGCTTTCGTAAACGTTGTACAAGCTAACTAACTCTCTCAAACTGTTTATATTGACTGATGACTGAACAGTGACCCATGTTATTTTGTTTAACTTATATTGATGAAGTTGCAATTTGGCCAGTAGTATCTGTGACCCGACTACGGGTGAACTATGTTGAAATGGGAGATGGTTGGAGGTAATCGAAAGGAAACTATGGACCTAGGTCTTTTTGCTAGTTGATTACTCGTCTAAACTATCCGCTTTTAACAAGAACGACGTTAAAATTGGGAAATGTAGTGAGTGTGATAGAGTAAGCATATGTAAAAAATGAGAACAGTCTAAAATAAATAATAGAGAGCGACTATAAAGAAGAATTTAAAAAGTGGGAAATAATGATGTCAATAATGATAAGACTGTAAATATTCAGTGTCACTTAAATCAACCTTCCTTCAAGTGATTTCATCAAATTATTAATTTTCAGTCTTGTAAATACAAAACAGTCATGGTGACGTTAGCAACAAATGATGGATTTGGAATTTATTATGAATACTTAATATGATGTACAAGTAAAGATTGACAAACCACAATGTGATGATTTTAGTTAAATGAAAGAATCTCTAGTTTACTATGCTATATAAAATACAACTAACCCTTTGCAGCTTCTACAACACCAGTCAATTCATCGTCAAAATTAACTAGGGCAGGAAATTGGGTTTCAATTGTTTCAACTATGAAGTGAAGCAGAGTCCACGATTTATCCAAAGTCCGTGTGTCGGATAACTGAAAAAAGACAAGTTGGAAACTAAAGAAAATGAACATTACATGCCTATACACAAATACGTTAGGTTTGACGTTGCAAATCGTCGAATACATTTTCACCGCGATTTGATATTAGCTAAATATTAAAAAACCCTACACCACAAACCGTATAGTATTCTTCTCTAGTCACACACGGAGTGTCGTCAGTCAGTCAGCTACAGCGTAGGACCAGGCACATATGAGCATTGGTCCAAGCTGCCATACTTCATTAGCACAACAAGATGAACACCGAATTCATAGAAGTAGTTAATAAAATGGTGGTAATATATAAAAGAAAGATTGCATATAAGAGCATAGTTATACAAACTTATTGTATAAAGCACTAATCAAAACAATTTACTGTCAAGCTATAACTGTTTAGTTCGAAGAAAATTGACCGAAATGTAATGAGCTCATATTCTTTTGTAGAGTGTTTACAACCAAAAACGAAAACAACTCAAAGTGCATATGTAAAAAAGCAAGACGAAAGTAAAGTGTAAATTTGATACTTAGTAAAATAAACATGATGAATATCGATTTAACTAAAAAGGAGTACAATAACCAATAGAAGTGAACTTTTCAACGAATAGCTTCAAATATGTGGGTATTTATAAGAGTGAAGTGAAAAATACAGGAAATCATGAAGGAAACTTTCGTAAAATGACTAGGATGTGATTTATTATAATTTATCCATAATTATACTGATCCATTAGATAGTTGGTGTGATCTTAATATTGAGAGCTCTTGATCTTCTCGTTTGGACTTTTTAAAATTTACTTTTTTGGAAAATTAACAACGAACACAGCCGTTTTCCTAACCAAATTACTAATCACATCATCATTGTAACACTCGCTATATTTTGTATATAAACGTTTTTTTGTATACAAACACTTTTTAGTGATCTTCAACTTCCCATTTATTTCGTTGTATAAAAAGGACTTGAAATTCAGTAGAGGGGATTAATTCAAATTAAAGTATTGCGTCATAGAAATATCCTTTGAACTGCTCTATCATCTCTCTTTTAAAGAGAAAGATACTGAAAATATATATGATACATGAATATACCACTCTGTGAAAACGTAGTTTTTTGACACGTCTCTGATGTGATTTATGGTGATTTCAAAGATGAAGTGTCCTTCACATCATTATTTTAATATAAGAAGAAAAATCAGAGTTGTTTATTCAACCTCAAAGTAATTTTATATTCTTGAGAAATAAGTACAACGATTTTCAATTTTTCAAATAGAACTGAACTATCGGTCTAGATTACTTGTCGAAACAATTATAAACACTGATACATTGTGAGAGATTTTATTGACTGAGTTAGTTTTTTATCATTTCCTTCATGGGTCAAAATAATTCCATGTCAGTTTTTCGTCAACCTACACGGTACGCATAACGACTGTTATTACGCTGAGAACCTATGTAGCCAAAGTAAAACTTCGAATTTGATGTAATACATGAACAAACGTTTTTACTGAGACGATAGAGAATAGAGCTTAATGTTTTAATCTATTTTCTGTATTACACATCACCAAACAAATCTAATAGAAGGAAAGATGAAGGATTATCAATTTTCTAGCGTTATCTGCGACGTTTAGTGAGTCTGTTTTATCTTGAGAGGTATCACATATATGTGCTTCTAGAGCGAGCTATATTAATCATAAAATATTACTGAATCTCTTACGCCTGATAATATATATAATGCAAGACAATCATGCAGTATATTTAATATGTACACTACTAAGACATTTGTGGTACAAATCCGAGTCACACGTTAATAACTTAACAACCGTAGTTTATGAACGATAAAAGATGTAGCAACACTTAATCAGTCGATTGAAGGCTTACAACTACGAGAATGTAAAAATACTATCCACCAATTATTTCATAAAAATACTTAATAAAAATCGTTATATTTATACATATATAGGTTACTAAGAGAATAGCTTTAAAAGTATCACAATTTCAATTACTCGTTTAATCTTCTTCGAACAAGAAAGTGCATTCGATGGCTAGACAGATATACAACACTTACCGTTCCTAATTATTGATGAACCGATCAAGAAAATCCCTAATAGGCATTTACTTTATGCCTTTCAAAGCTAACGTTTATATCAATAATACAGAAACAATAACCATATTTATAGTTCGTATTGTTACAAAATGAAAACAGAGAATTTACAACTTGCCAAATTATTAAACAGCTTAAGTTAATACAAAAAACAAGACGATTCATATGAACAATTTACGAAAGTAGTCAGTATTCAATAGTTATGGTGTAGGTAGAAAGATGATGATTGACTATGTTTAGCGTATTCTGTGTTTAATTAAACGAGAAGCTTAGGAGTAATGATTCCCAATTTAGTTTACATGAATCTAGAGTAAATCTTTATAGTTCGGTCTACGAATTGATAACTGACGACGAATAAATTTTCTTTAATTATTGATGTGTAACCAGTAATACAAAAAAAGGAATTCACTAGAATCATGTCAAAAAACAAATAGGAACTGATAACCAAGAAAATGAAAGACAAAGTTATCCCACTATGTGAAAAACGACCAACGTTGAACAGGTCTAGGTAAAATAAATTAGCTATTTATGATCAACGCATATTGTAACACAAATAAGAGGTGGGTCAAGATGTCACACCATATTTTAATAAATGAAGTTAAAAAAGAAATTGAATCATATGGTAGCAATGATTATGACAAAATTTAAACATTGGTGTGGTGAGAATAGAAAGGTTGAATGTATCTGTGCCATTATAAACGATTATAAATCATATCAACCAACATCACCAACCACTGATCTTAGCTATTGCCCAAACTCCAATATAGCTTAGACAAACAACAGTCGACAATTTCCCAAATAATTGAGACAAAAAAGCAACATAATTAAACAAAATAGGTGGAAAAAAAGAAAGGGAAACTTACAGCATCTAAACTCTGTAAACGAAAACCGTAGGCAATACCACGTCTGGAACTATTCATATAATTGCCAAAAGCTAATATAATTTCTAAGATAGCTCTAAATTTACAACTGTTTTTCAATGCTAACGAAGCGGATCTTACAGCAATAATTTTCTGATAAAATAATGAAAATGAAACAGAACAAATAATTCAGCATATATATATATATATATATATATATATATATATATATATATATATATATATATATATATATATATATATATATATATATGTATGAGAGAGGGTAAGTATGATATAAGTAGAGTAGAAAAGGTAGATAACAAAAAATTATGGTGTGTTGAACTCTTTTTACTATTCGGTCGTATATTCATGAAATCGACTCAATTTTTCAGACAAAACTAAAATCTGTTCATCTATATTTATTATGTAGATGATTATTGAAATCCAATACGGTGAGTCATATTTTAATGATAATCTTTTAAAAGGGAATAAAGTCAGGCAATGTGAACATTTTTTTAGAGCAAAAAAGTACAAGACTATAGGTAAAATTTGTCGACAAGATATAAAATGATATTCATGAAATAAAGACGGGAGCGACCGAAATTGAGAAATCATCCTTTGAAAATAGGTACTGAAAATTTTAGTTTAACTTCATTGTCTCTCGTGGATAAAATACATTACACAAAAGCGTGAGATAATTTGAAGGATTCTTAGTTAAGATACTTTCGAAATAGGTTTACAAACAAAGAAACAGTAATAATTATATGTTTCCGTTTGTAATATAAGCGGTCATTTATTTATACTTATTTTTTTAAGAAAAGGGAATTACATCCATGGGTAGAGTATTACTTTTAGAGTCTAGATAAAAACTAACCTTCTATACACAATGGTATATAACAAATGGACAGGCTCCAGTTCTTCTTCTTACAACTAAACAAAACCCTTTAAGTTTCGTTCAACAAAAGTATCACCAATTAGTCTCATATGGCGAAAATAAGGAAGAATTGGAGCCTTAATGATTAAACTAGATACATGCAGCATATTATCAGCAAGAATTTTAGATCCAGACTAGGACCTGATAGTGAACATATAAATTATAAATTACAATTTCGAAACAACAGACGCTGAATCAACCTGTTACATTTACCAGTAGCCATAGAGATTTTTAAACACTGAATCACACAGATTGCGGAAAGTGAGCGATTTCATTCACATCAGAAAGTTTCAGTAGTTGGAATGTTGCAACATTCCACCATATACCATTTGCATCATAAAATAGCCGTTGAGTTTCTTGACATTACAGTTGGTTTATATTCGCTGAAAATAATTGTAACTTACAGTTATGTATACCAAATGAGCTATCTCCGACAAATTTGTTGATATTTTTCGAGCCAAGCATTTAAGTACATAAAATGAAGTACATCTAAACAACTATCACATAATATTACGAAATTAGCAATAGAGTTTAAGGGGATTTTTATTGAATCACATTAGCTCCATGAGAAAAGTTAGACACCAAATAAATTATGACAAACGAATAAACATAAATTACTGAAAATCAATTTGATCCGTGAACATATAGTATACGGTTTAGTTGAAAGTGATTATGCAATCGTAATCAATGATCATAAATAAATACACAAAACAAGTACACGTTTTTACTAAACATATACTGATGTATGTGACAAAGTGCACAGAATACAATAACGTAATAAAAAAATTGTCTACAATGTAAGGGTTAGTTTAAGGAGTGTGACTTGACGAATAATTTATAATCATACATTTCATTATTAAGACGAACACTCTTACACAACTAAATACTACCCTTTAATTATTTGAAATCAAGGTCACAATATTTAAAATTATTACCTTTATAACATGATCCATACTGAGCATGAAAATAAATCTCACAAGCCATATGACTATTAGCAGCCATATAGCAATCTAGTTTTATGTAAACCTAATGATTATTTCTTCACTGTGCACAACTAGAAGTGGGCGTAAATACATGGTCTGATCAGTTGCGTAGAAATAATTTCAACTTCAGTAGGATACAATACACATGTTCGTGATTAGAATAAATATAATTTGATTAGACTTTATGTCATCACATCAGTATTATCAAGGTCAAGACACATTTCTCTGGATGATATGTATATATATATATATATATATATATATATATATATCGGCGGTCAAATAATAAAAAATGGATTCAGACAAATTCTTGTTATATCAATAAACTCTCCAATTCATATAAACACAGTGATGAAACCGTGGTCAAGTTGAATTTATTACTTTTAAAATTATTGCTTTAGATGTTAGATATATTTTTGTGGCTTGACATAGTACTAGACATTACAATATCGTATCTAAAGACATAAATTACTTACCGAATTCACTACATTCAAATTATCTTCAAATGAATTCATGAATAAAATAATTTCTAATCTAGGTCCTAAACGTTCAACTTTGCATAAATGTAGTAAAAGACGATCTTCATCCGTTAAATCATCAATAGATCGTTGTTCAGTGAATTCATAATTTAAATAAGTTTTCACTTCATCAGCTGTTGGCAATTGATGGTATATACGATCTGTTACATCTTGACCTAGTTCTAAACGATTAATATCATTCCATAAACGTTCTGGTGTATATTTTTCAGATTCCAAATAACGTAATAAAACGCCAATACAACTGAAACGGAACAAAAAAGCGGAGATAAACATGAGTAGTGTTATTAGCATAATTGAAGTGAGAATTGCTTAAAAAAAACTGATTAACTTGGTAGTCGATTCAACTTAGTGACCTAGCATACATATCGTTTTACACACCTGAATATTGTGAAATGTGTTACACAAAATGTACCACTGTACGGCAATACCACATATTTCTTAATGAGAAAAAAATGTATGAAAGAGATTTCATTAAGTCTAAATGTTGGTGTATTTTTAAAAAAAAAACACTACCGATCAATATATGACACGATTTTCACTGATGATTGTGTGTAAACATAAAACATAATTTACTAACATATCAATGTTCAACGTCCTAACGAAAAAGCACTGAGTTGACTATTTATATTATTGAGACAAAATTCAGCAGATATTTTTTTTCGTAATCATTAGTTTATGACATATGTTAACGTCGAATAGACAATTAAGATGCAATGATGCGAATAGTGACATAAACTAATATCAGTTTTCATATTTACTATGACTGAGCCAACAAGAGAAGAAAATAAACGCTTGGTGTAATAACTTTATATTACATAGAAATATAGGAACTTTCATATCAAAAAGCTATTGATTATTGATAAAGAGAAATTCACGTTATACTAAACCTTAGATAGTAAACATTATCTCCATGGCTTATTATAAAAAACCTTAGTTACGAGAACGATTAGACAGCTAAACTTTTCAAACACCAGTTTGAATTACAAAAGTTTTAGTACAAAATAAGAAATCGATATTAATTACCTAACATTTCAATGATAAATGGAAATATACCACAAATAATTATAGGAGTTTCAGTGTACATTATGAAACAGAGTATAATGCATACCAATATATGCGATCCTAAGTCACTGAGACTGTCTGTTGTATACTGTATATAAGCCTCGAATACGTGAATTTACAATTACGACGAAAGTAGGATGGAAGTAGTTGTCAATGGCAACAGATTCATGAATCCAGATAAATTTGTCTGGTTTTCAATTGTTTCCATATAAACATTTAGTAACAAATGACACACTATCAACAAGTAACATGTTTATTGTTGATGAAGAAGATAGCCCCAAATGCCAAATATTTCCAATCATCAATAAAATCGTTTAGTTTTACAGAATAAAGAGAACGAGTTTTCGTATAAAACTTTATACTGGTAATATACGTACAAACATAATAACAGTCGACTGCCAAGTCAGAATTACATAATTCTTTTTTTAAAAACTTTAACGTATTAATAAAACAGCACAACCACTACTTATTTTCTTCAATAGGCAACTATTTCGCTATCGATTTAGTTAACTTTACGGATAAGTCCCCCCACTGGGTTTGAGAGATACTCATTGGAAAATGAATCAATAAGTGGTGATCGAATACTAATCAACTAAATGATTGATAGAAATTTGTGTAGTTCTGAGAAAATTTCGGCATCAATCAGCATTATTTCGACAATGTCAACCTGTACAAGAAATATTACGAGAGATTCAGTGCTCAGACCAGTTACGGGAACGAATGAAATCATCAGAGAAGCATTTGAAAACTTAGAACAACTATTTCATTTTGAAAGATCTTGACAGTCAAATCCTCAATCATATTCTAAGATTAAACATCAGTAATAACAGATTCACATTTTAATCTAATGTAGGAAACGTTGAGTACGAAACTGTTAAAATCACATAGTTCCAGAACCAGTTATCCAATAATTAGATAACTTATGATATATTAGTTTACAAATTGTAAAACCGAAATGAAATCCATTTTATTTACGATACATTAAGCTAGTAATGCACAATGGTATTCAATAAACATAGATAATAGTAACAATTTTTTCAAAAGTTTTTTTGACTTGATTAACCAGTTGTAACTTTATTTGATACAATTTCACTAAACCATAGAAAATATTTATTACGGTCAAATAATGGATGGTACAACTATTATTAGTAAATTATTATGTATATATCCTGTTTGTAATATTAATTCATTTGACACTTAAATTTTAGTATCACGATGTACAAATATACGAGTAAATAATAATAATAATAATAATAATAATAATAATAATAATAATAATAATAATAGATCGATGGAGTACTATTTATCTAAAATATTATACCAGAATAATGTCCTTTTAACAAATAGGCAAATATTTACTAATTATATATATTGTATATAATTAGACCGATTGTTTACGTACATAAAGTAGTATGCGCTAATATCAAATGTGAATAAATTAATAAAATCTAAATTGGAAACTTTTAACACGTTTTTCTTCCATAAATTTGGAGATCTGGTTTTCGTAGTAAGGCTTATATCGTAAATATCTCATAAATTTGTAACAGTTAGTCAGTCAGTATTAAGCAAAGCAAAACCTGGAACATAAGTGCATTGATTTGACTCGACAGACCATATTAGTACAGCGAGATGAAACTATCAAGATAAATGTTGGATCAGTAAAAATAACGACAGTAGCAGTAATAACATAAAATTTTAGATATAGATTAATATAACCCGAGGAGTAATTAAGTCGTGAGACAAATAATTTTATAATTTTAGAACTCAAGATGTAACGGAAGATAAAACGTGTATGTATCTGCCTTAATGAGACCGATTCTGAGCCATGCCATTCACGGCCTGCAACCATCGGCTACACCGATCATGCGGACACCAACAAGGTAGTCTGCATCTATCCTACACGGCTTGGTTACAATAATGTTTTCATGAAATGCTCTCACATGTTTACCAGTTAGTTGCCCTCCTACTTTGTGTAGATTTTAAGAAATAAAAAGACTATGAATGAATGCAAATTTATACATTAAAGTTTTTAGATTATTACAAAATAATCTAGACCGATAAGCCATGGGAAATCAAAGTGAACTGAATAACCATTTAATAATATACATATGAATCCATCTGTAGCTTTTCTAGGGTTACTGTCGGCCTCGAAATTGGTTAAAAGACGGGAGTTGGGAATGTGGTCACAAACCTCATCCCATGCAAAACAACCTTGTTAAAAAATACTAACCAGAATAAACATTTTAAACCATTTAAACTCTCGTCTGGGACTAGGAAGATCTACTTTCGGAAGGACTATAAAGCCCCATAGTGAAAGCCGAGATTCTTCGGAAATCACGAGGCCGATGCCCTTTCTAACAACCAGAGCAACCATCAATATAGGTATATGGAATGCTCGGACAATGTGGGAGCCTGAAAGGATCAGTCAAATAGCTACAGGAATGAGGAGATACGACTTGACGATGCTCGGAACAATGATAGCAACAACGACAATAAATATTAGTTCTACGAGAGACTGCAATCAATTATAGTAAAATGCTCAGGAAAAGATCTGACCATCCTGATCGGACACTTAAACGCCAATGTCGGAATAGATAACACCAGGTATGAAGATATTATGGGACAATATGGACTAACTGGAAGAAACGAACGAGAATGGTGACAGACTTGCAAATTGATGTGCATTCAACAAAATGGTTATAACCGGCATGATATTTCCCCAACAAACGCATAAAAAAAGCTACACGGCATTGTACATTTAATTTTTAGTTCCACTATACGTAAAAAATTCGAACATAAGGTTAATGAATGGCTTTTTACAACATTTTCACAGGTGAAACAACCACCTTTATATCTCTTGGAAACAATCTAAAGTTACAAAAATGAGCAGAACATTTATTGTTCACCTAATAATTTTCAATAATGTAGTAAAGAAAAAGACGAGTCCCTAACAACATTAGTATGAGGGCTGAATGACATTAATTTATATTAACAGAAGCCCATGATTATAAAAAATGTTTCAATTGTATTCCAAAACATAGTTAACAGAGTAATTATTACATAGTTTACATAGCGGACTGGTTCTTAGTCAGACAGACATTGAAAACAAGAAAGTGTTGAACAACGGGGCTTCTTAGCAATCCGTATTCATGACAACACCAGGGATCGAACCTAGGATCCACAGGTCCTGAAGAAAGCACTTAACCGTTAAACTATTGAGCTGGCAACCAATGTGTTACAGGTTTGACTCCCATCAATCCGCGACAAAATGGAACCATCTTCCAATGTCATTAGTGGATAAGTGTGACGCACGTGACATAAGTGACAGCTATATAGATTTAATAATAATAATAATAATAATAATAATAATAATAATAATAATAAGGCTAGTTAATGAACAATGAAAACAGGGGAACCACAAAAATACGTACCGATGTCTATTTGAATCCATTAAAGATTTTTTCTCAACTTTTTTACTTATTCGACTGTCTTTCTGATCTAATCCATTTACCAGATTATTTACACCCGATTTATTACTATTATTCACTGATTGATTAGACAATTTGAAAAGATTTTCAAATCTTTCAGTATCCAATGCATCCAAAACAGCTTCATCATTCATGCCAACAAATATTGTACCACGAAGTTGTTGATTTTTCAACAGGACCCAATTAACTAATGGTAATTTGTATCGAGTTTGTATGGGCGGTCGTATGGAAACACCTATATTCAATATGAAAGAATAAATGAAGAAATAGAAAATGATGAAAGACTAAAAGAAACACATGTGCCACATATTTTAAACAGGATATAACTCATTAGTTATTAAAATGAAAAATAACTGTAACTCGATTACAGATTGATCACTCCTACTTTTATGCTTTATCATCCACTTATACCGACAAATAAGCAGCGCAATCACTCGTCATTTATTTGATAGTGTATAACCGTTGGCATTTTAAGATCGTATAAACAACTTCAGAAACATTAAATTTTGCCGAGGCCATTGTTACTAAAAGGTTCAAACTGAATTTATGCATTCAAAAGAATGATGCTATCATTCTTGCACTGTTCTGACGACTTCAGTTTCTGAAAATTCTTTCCGTGAAACCTTATTTTGTGATGATAATTACAAGTTTGATTTCTTTGTTCTATCGTAGATTCTGTCTGAGCTCCAACTATTTCAGTCCTATAAAAACCCTTTTATTTAGTTGACATTACGTACCTTTTATCATCAGGCTTTTAGCAACATGTATCCTTGAGTTTTTTTCATGAATATTCACACTTTCCAACATATAGATATCCGACCATAAAAGCATATTTTACAATTTTTTCTAAATCTAATAACGTTTACTGATAACAATACGTTCTGGTGGGTTTTGGAGGATCTACATAGGAGAGTTGGAAAACCCTGATTCAAAACCAATGGTGCACATGGGTTTCAGAATGCTGGGGGAACAAATGACGCATGAACAGATTGTTGGTCACTGGCTACCATGAGACTGCATCTCCCAAAGTTGTACTATAACCTTTGTAGGCTAGACCTTTAGGTCAAAAGCTCGTGATGTGGTCCCCAAAGAAAACCACCTGCTCCGGTTTTGGAGCCCAGGTAATATTCCAGCCGTCATACAAATCAAATGACGAAGTGTGGCGCATATATATTTGATGCCTCCTTGAACCAATGTTTGCGTTTAAATAAATAATTAAGAATACATATCTGATATTATGGTAAAAAGTATGTACACAGTTTTGTTTTACAAAAAAATGAGTACTATTATTTTTACGTTGTCAACTTGCATATATGTGCCTGGTTCTACGTTATAGCTGACTAACAGACGTAAATAGCTGAAGTGACACCGCAAAAGTGAATTCATATTATTAAGCCAAGTTCATTGCTTTTGCTTGATACAAATTTGAATCACGATCTGGTTTGAGCTGGACCATCAATCAATACATAGAAGAATTAGACAGCCGTTTCGTCCTAGTATCAGAGTACTTGGCAGTGCGCATCCACGACACTGTAGGCGGAAATCGAACTCAGGACCCCCGCCTAACGTCTAGACTACTGTATCCGCTAGCGACTAGCCTCAAGATATAACTCCTGCAGTTCTAGTGTGACCAGCGTGATTCAATCCTTGTCGGGTGTCAGACAGTTATCCATCACTGACAATGGATGAAAGTTGCACAATATCGTGAATAGGTTGAAGTTAGACAGTAATACCGTTGGTTACCGGTTCAGTGGTCTGGAGGTCAAGTATTTGAACACGAAACCGAAAAGCCTGGGTTCGATTACCGTGTGTGTGGTCGTTGTTGTGGACTGGTGAGGAGTCGCATATTAAGACGAAACGGCTGTCCAGTACCTCAAGGTATTTAGTGGTCTAACCAATATCGGTTTTCGATTTATACTTTGAAAATACTACAATCTTTACAAATTCATCCACACCAATTATGCAAATTTATTAATGGGAAAAATAGTGTAGTAAAAGGAACAATGAAACATCAATATTTAAAAAAATTTTAAATGATATAACGATAAACAAAACAAAACTAGCCTTCTGCACCAGGCACCATTGCACCCATTCCCGGTGGGGGAGGAGGTGGTGGTGGTATACCTCCTGCAGATGGTGGTGGGGGTGGCGGGGGAGGAGGGGGTGGTGGCGGAGGGGGAGGAGGAGGTGGTGGTGAAGCATTAGCACCAGCAGTAATAACACCACTTGTTGTGTTTATCGATTCGGTAGAGTTACCAACTATCCCATTCACTTTTATTTGTGATTTCGACTGTGAATTTTTAACTGTATTCAAAGTATCTTCTAGCTCACGTAGTCGTTGTTGTAAATTACGCTCACGTTCTGTTGTGCTTTTATCTTTATCCAATAGTTGAGCACGTAGTGTAGACAGTTGACCATCTTGATTAGTGCGCTGATTCTACAGTGATAATGTATAGGTAATAATAGTAACTGTAAAAATATATATTGATTACAAAAGCGAGAAATCAATGAACTAGGAATTATCAGAAGGAGTTTGTGAAGATTTTAGAAATTTTCACAGATTGAAATCATGAGTCAGTTGAAGCTAGACCACCATTGAAAACCTGGAAGCACTGGACGGCCGTTTCGTCCTAGTACGGGACTCCTCAGCAATACACATCCACGATCCCGCACCCCGCGGGATTCGGACCCAGGACCTACTGGCTTCGCGCGCGAGCACTTAACCATTAGACCACTGAGCCGGCATCCAATGGTGTTAATGTCTAACTTCAACCAATCCACGAAGTTGCGCCACCATATACCATTGTCTTGGATGCCGGCTCAGTGGTCTAATGGTTAAGTGCTCGCGCGCGAAGCCAGTAGGTCCTGGGTTCGAATCCCGCGGGGTGCGGGATCGTGGATGTGTATTGCTGAGGAGTCCCGTACTAGGACGAAACGGCCGTCCAGTGCTTCCAGGTTTTCAATGGTGGTCTAGCTTCAACTGACTCATGATTTCAATCTGTGAGAATTAGGAATTGGTTAAATTAAACAAAAGCCAAAACTTAGAACGACAAACTAGTCTAAACTTTTAAACTGCTTTATGAAATTATTACACTGGAATGCGTGAACGTATGTTTAAGGGTAATATAAACTGAATATGCAAAGACTATGAGATAATCCTATCATTCCATATAACAAATACGATGCTGCTCGACGGATTGTTGAATTTCTGAGCTCAGAAACACCGGTTCAGAATAACAGTCAAGATTAAGGAATATGATTACTTCATAGTAGATAGAAATTACGAGAAATGAAGAGGTTAACAGTTATACAACAGTAGTTATTATAATCTTAAGACAGTAGAACAAACAGACGACTAAGCTACTAAGACTTATAATCGAATAACCAGGTTATACTTAGTCCATTTCCCATTATTTTTAAAGCTTAAAATTTTTTTTAAAAACTAGACAGTAACTTGTCCACATGAAGTACAAAAACTGAAGGAAAAGATGAAGGGAAAGTAAGAGGAAAGAGAAGACAAAAACAAAGAATAATTGGTGATTCATAGCATACAGCCTCACACCAAGTATTTTCAGATAAACAAATCCATATGTGTTTTGAACAATCATAATCATATATCATCCAATCAATTCCTTCTCTAACAGTAGTGTTTAACGTTCTAATTGACATATATGCACCAATAACAATTGCATTGACTAATTATTACATTTGCTGTTATAATCAATGTTATACAGCATTATGGAATAGAAACAATTACACCATGTCATACAGTATAAGACTTTTATAATTAAACAAACAACAATTTGAAATAAAAACCAAATAAATGAAATGGAAAACAGAATAAAACGCAAAGAAGGAAGAGAGGAAAAGCCGAGACACAAATTTAGATTAGACAGTCGATCAAAAAGAGGTTAAAGTCAATAAATCCATTATCTAGTTGGGAGTGATATGGAAATAAACACTACTAACTAATCACTAATATATATATATATATATATATATATATATATATATATATATATATATGTGGCAAGAATATATTGAATTAAGTTGCATCTATGCACAGTACATATATGCGCTACTGTACATTTTAAAAACTACAATGAATATTTTTCAAAAATGCAAGAAACTAGTTGATGTTTTGTACATACAAAAATCGGTGAAATGGATTAAAAAAAACTGAAATTCATGATGAAAAAAACCCCTGATATACTATTTCTAGACGTTTATGTGTATTAGTTAGTTGGTTAACTTATTTATTTGGAACAAGATAAAATATAAGTGAACAGAATAATAATTAAACAATAAACTGAATAAATTTGTCTGTAATAAGTAAAATGTTACTAAGGTATGTAGAGATTTGAATTTAATCAAAAAACAATTGAGAAACATTTGACAATATTTAAATTACGAAATAAAATTTTCACTAAACATAGTTACAAAGAAATATGCACAGACGGATTTTACAACTTCGTTACTGGTAAACGACAGAACATAGATAAAGAGAATATTAAGTACTCAATTATTACTGATCTCAATTCATGGAATATTCTAAAATACACTTTTACTGTTTCATAATTCAATTTCATACATATTATACATTATTGATATAAAATGTGTAAGCTGACAACTTTATAAGACTGTCAATAAACTTTTCCGATAATTCAACCGAAATAGACAGATGAAAAGTTCAGAACCCGATAAAATATTCTTACATTTTCAGAACGTCTAAAGATCACTTGTTACTATCAGTATGGTAGGAAATACGATAAGTACTGAATAACATTTATGAAACAATATATTTGGCATCGTATATTATGACTTATTTGTCAGTGTTTATGAAGGTTAAGTAACTTTTAAACACGAAAACTAATAACTTATTTCAATATTCTCAATATTTAGAAACAATGTTTACCTCTAAATCTTGATTTTTTATTTCCAAAGCTTGTATTTTTTGTTGAAGCTCCAATAATTTATTTTCATATTCTGCTTGGATTGTTGCTGTACGGGTTTGTAAAATGATCAGATCTGATTCTGCTTGTTCTTTCTCTTGTTGTAACACATCACGCATTTGTGAATCTTCTAATAACACTGCAACATCCACTTCATTATCATTATATGCTTCTATTTGACGTAGAAGACGATCACCGGATTGATTGTATATTCTCTGTAACAAAAAGATGGATAAAATGTAAATTTATCACATGATAAACGAGTTAATTGTAGAAAAACACTAACGAGAGCATTTTAAGTAGTTGAAAGAAAATATCAGAAATCAATAACCCCATGATTTATCTTGGGATTTTAGCTAGTATCATGCAGTGTGACAGTTATAGACTACACATCACTGAGTTATGTAGGTCGTGATTGAACTTCTCAGTTGTTTAAACCAACTTACTTAACACTTAGTAGAGAGACTAATGTTAACATGTCATATGAGTTATCTATCAAAGTTCGGCGAATTTAATCACAGTGTAGAGCCTTAAAGGTTACGAGATATATAATTTTGGTGTTAAAACCCATCATGAAGGTAACAGTTACTAATGGACTGGTCGAAAGTCAAAAGGTAGCTAAAATTATTCTTTCTTTATGAAAGCAATAATTATTTGTAAGATGAACAAATTCATATCCTAATGATAAGCAACATATCGTAAGATACAAATTACACATGGGTACGAATTTTCTGTTTTCACAATTATTCCCTCACTGACAGATTCACTATTAATTTTATGAATATTCCAATTAATATTATAATATTCATAGCTAATAAATATAACCTAATACCCAAAAAATATTAATATCCCGACCCATTCACTGTACACATGACCTTATATTTGCATAACGGATATTACAAAAATATCCAATAACCTCGTGTTATATAACAGAAATTAATGTCGTGACCTTGGAATAAAAATAACTTCGGAAAGTTCATATGGTCAAGAGTTATAAGATACATAAAGTCTGTAAAAAAAACTTAAAACACCAGGATAGAGAAATGTAATGTTTACAGATCGATAATGCTGAAGTTCCTAATTTTGACAATAACGTCACTCACTACTTCACTAAACAATCAGCCTTGAGCACTGAAATTTTGGCTACTTTTTTGCTAATTATGCTGTCCAATACACAACTAAATACGAAGATTGAATCTCGAGAGACTTGGAGAGAAACAATTACTAAAGATAGACCAAGATAAATACCAAAGAATTAAGAAAAAGCGGTTGCCCTGATTTTATGTATCGTTGTATAAGATCGTTTAATTCGCACAACTATAAATACAAGTAATGGATGAAATATGTGCTTACAAGTGTAATTAAACGAAGAAAAAACAATCACAATTTTGAAAGTGTCGTTTTCTGTTTATCATTGACAAAATATCAACTACATTTGTACAAATAGTCGGTTATAAGCAACGTAGAATCTAGCATATGTGTGCATTAGTTCAAGTTGGCCCAGTAAAGCGAGATAAGATTATCAAGATTTGGGTAGATACATGTACGCTTCGTTTTCCATTTCTTCTTGAGTTCTAAAATTATATTATAAAATTATTTGTTCCACGGATTCATTTTTCTCCAGTCAGGTTATCTATGCCTAACATTTTGTATTAACACTGTTACTGTCATTACTTCTGCTAATGATACTGATTTTGAAATTTCACTCACACAGAATGTATTTCCGAAAACATTTCTATCATAGACTGATATCAGTTGACGAAACACTGAAAACCCAAAAGAGGGAGAGATAGAGAATAATCAGCTATATTATCGTTCTGGTTACTTAGTTGTAAACATTCATTCATTCTAGAACTTCCCATCAATTCACATTTTTCCCATTTTATGTCTTTTGGTAGAAAGAAACACAAGTGTATTATAATCTACACAAGCAAACAAAAGTACGAAAGCTTCACAAAATCGTATTTGATAGATATATTACAGGACTATCACGCTACAAGGACTGACATGACCAAACACCTATGCTCTTGAACATACAGGTCATTCATTATTGTAAGATTGCTTATAATGTATAGTGGCACACACGAAAAGTAGGAGGAAGTTATTGTTGGCGGAGAATTTCATATTGTACTGAACATATAACATTGAATAAGGAGATTATCATTAACCAATTTTAACTGTGAGTGAAAATCGTCTTCGTAAAATAAAACAATTTTCACAGAACTGTGTGAAATACCCACAAAAATGATACACATACCGATAAATAATTAACTAATCCAAGATGTTTAAATTCTTCTTGTAAATATACTCTTAACATTATATCATCTGTTGAATGTACAACTATATTGAAAAACTGCATACACGATACCTGAAAAAGAAAAAGCAAAGAAAAAAATTATTAAATCAAAATAATTGCGACGAAATAAGAAACAATATTTTCGAAATATAATTTTATATGTAAAGAAACTAATTTATTTAAAATACATTTACGTACTCAACTTTTATTAAGTGATTATGTGAAGACTAATGAATTTAACTGGCTGCTCTATTCCATTTAGAAAGAAAAAAGAGTTCGAACTTGTAATATGTTAATCGAATGTCAAGTGATTTAATCACAAATCCACCACTCTACAATATTGTCCGTGTGACGAAAAAAATTTAGATGAATGGATTTCTGTTAAATTATTCAAAAATGTTTGAATTTTATAAGAACCGTTAGCGACAAGTGAAACATTATTAAAGTCATATCTACAAATATTGAATTAGCTAAATGTAAACAATTTGAATATGAGAGTGAAGATACTAACACAATGAATCATAATGTGAAAATTATTGGAAACTCAGTCTTGTTATTTATATAGATAACTATGATTTTTGTTTATTTAAAATTCATGATACAACAAGCTAATGATAAATGTCAAAGTACAACTGGGTCCCGCTTCTTCCTAAAAATGCTATGCTATGTTCATGTGTTTCTAATGTCTTTCTGAGGATTCTCGCCCCCCCCTTTACATGGATAACATATTTTCAAACAATAAACAAAAAGAAATTGGATGTCAAGGAGTTAAATTAATGAATACGAAAGATATATTTTGATAGTTGGAATACCCTGATTGAAAACTAACCATGTTCGTGGGCTCTAAAACCCCAAGAAAAAAGTATGGGAATACTTTGGTCATTGTGAATGAACCTTTTGACATAGCCTTACTATTTAGTTAGACTCTTAAATGAAAGGTTCATTAATGATCTCCTGAAAATGAACCAATACACCATACGATTATAATTACAATGAAAATAATGATAAAAAAGAGTTTGTGAAACGCAGGAAATATTCAGTCGCTAGATTAACTTCAGTTGCCATGAACAAAATTAATTAGAAAGCCTATGTAATATAATTACTGTGGTCAGAAATTACTCGAGGGAGATAAAAAAGAGAAAAAATGGAGATGTTTCCGTACACTATAACATGAAAGATTTACTACTAAAATACTTTTATGTAATTAATGTGTACTTCACATTTTAGTATGGATTAAGTGCGAACTGTTCAGAATGCAATCCGAGTTGCACCAATGAATAATTTGTCTAAAATTAGACAAGTAGAATATTAATTAGACAATAATGATTGAACACTTTTATGTGGTGAGTAATAAATTATCCGCCCAAAAAGAATAACAAAAAAAGGAAATTCATAATAAAAATTTATGCAATTACAATTTTTAAAAAAGGTAGTCTTTTTCTTTTCAATATGCTAAAAAGTACTCACTGTAATTGGTCTGAGTCATATTTATAAACCTCAGAAACATACAAGAACACAAAATCACGTACACGCGCCTACACACATTTCGAATTTAAAACTGTTTTGTTTCATTAGGGGTGATATTGGTAATTTGGATTGAATAAGGCATGAGCTACTGTTTGATTACTCCCATGATTTAAGTGTGAAAATAAATAGCTTCCAGGAAATTAAGATGTTGATAAGTCATATGGTCCAAATATTTTAGACACTAATTTTTTAGCCGCCTCTTAGTCCTCGAAATTCCTCTACTATTTAACCTCTAACAGAAAACAGAGGATGGTAAAATGTCGAAGCTTCATTTTGAGGGTCAGATCATTTACAAAGAATAAAGGTATTCGTGGGATGACCTTGAGACCTTAAAAGCACCGAGAAAATGTGTAAAAATCAGTAACGCAATTTAGTAATTGTAAAGACAAATTAGATAAAGCGTTATCAGTAATCTAGACTTTTCTTGGCTTTTAGATAATTCTTCAAGAGGTTATCGACGATTCTCAAGAGAGTCGAAGTAATAATTAGAAAGATAATTGAACTTAAAGAAACAACTTCACAGTTTGACTTCATATAAAAGCACTTCTATACCTTATAAAGGGTGACACTAACTGTTTTAAGAGAACATTCTTTGTTATGGATTAACATAAAGTAGGAAATAACTGAGAAACAGGAAGCACTAATAAACAGTTATTTCATTTTAGTTGGAAACTTTTATCTGTCACAAATGGTATAACGTGTACATAAAGGGTAAAACCTACCATCATTATAGGTGACATAATGATGAGTTGTTGAAGTGAAACCCAACTATTTATACTTTACAGTTTACATCACGGACTGACCATAGTTAAACAACGATTGAAGACCATGAAGCATTAGACAATTACTTAGGACTAGAACAAGACTCCTCAGCAGTGAGTATCTACGACTCTACCGAAAATCAGATCTAGGATTTTTAAATCTTGTGGTAGGCGCTTACCCTTTTAAGTACTAAGTTCGAATCGCATGGTTTATATTTACAGCATAAATTAATTTGTAACAATGAATAAAACTGTGCTAAATAATGAATGAACAAATGAGCAAATAATATAATATAATAAATAAAACAATAAATATCAATGCATAATGCATAATATAACTAGATTTCAAGAAATATTAGAACTAGAACTTAAAAAGCGTTACATTGTCAGTAATCTACTGAAAAATCAATGAGGTCTAGAGCAGTTGATGGTTTACCACGAACTAAAAAGGAATTATGAGAATTAGGTCACAGTAACAAATTTCACTAAATCAAAGTAAAGAATTAGTTCTATGATCATAGTATACCGATGGAAATGCCGAATATACTTATTACGTTAATCATAGTTTTTACAAATATCGAGTTTATGCTTAACTTTACGGTAGTGAATTATCGTTTTTGAAATATCATAAAACATTCTTATTAAGAGTAATCTAACGGTTATTGGAAGGTAATGTGATATTCAGTGTCATATTTCATGGGTTTCTGAGCAATAATATTTTACTGATATCTTTTGAATCTCTAGTTGTTTGCTTTTTTACTAGTATTTTTGGATCATTTATTTCTATTTAGTTTACTTCAACATATCTTGTTTTCTGTTTTCTATTAAGAAATGTAATAACACATTAGGCTTTCCGATATCTCGTTTGTGTGCCGTTTAATTGACTATACTTTTCTTTCTGTTCATGGACTGTTGATAGTTTATATATGAGTAGAAAACAGAAAACAAGATATGTTGAAGTGAACTAAATAGAAATAAATGATCCAAAAATAAACTCGATATTTGTAAAAACTATGATTAACGTAATAAGTATATTCGGCATTCTCATCGGTAAGAACCTTCCATAATTCCATGAAACTAAATGTAGTCAGTTTGCGTTGATAGTTAATATACGAAGGCTGCACAATATAGAAAGAAGTAAAAATATAACTGACAATTCTGTTATTGTGTGTCATTAAAAGTGACAACTGACCCTAGAATTTTTAGAAAATTACATAAGTACACGCATTGTTTACAATGTTCTTAGACTACAATCGAACTTTCCAATTCGTGACATCACACTAATGCAAAGATACCGAACAATAATAACACACAGATATTATTAAACACTAATCCAAATTAAATAACTCATTTATTAAAAATATATAAAACTATCCTCAAAACTATTTGAAAACACTATTTCAGCACATTTTTATTTTGTAGTTCAATGATCAATCTCAATAAATCATAATATTCAATAGAAATTTAATAAATTGAGATAAAAGTAATTACACTTACCATAAAATCCATATTATAATCTGGAGATTCAGATTCATGTGTGAAAAAATAATGTATTAAATATTCAAAACGTGTAGACTCCCCAACTTCCTTTTTAAAATTATCAAATGCATTTAATACGCGTTCATGTCCACCAGTGATTAAGCAGACAACAGTTAAAAGTTCAAGTACTAAGGTTTTTGTTCTTACAATGAAAAGAAAAACAAAACGATAATAACAATTAGATTGAAAAAAATAAAATAAAACCCGTGAATAAAAATCAATGTCTATAGAAGCCTACCATTATTATCGTTAATACAAGAAGTATAGGTAAAGACCAACTATAAGTTAACTCTCATACATTATCGGCGATTTTGTTTGAAGATTTGAGACCAACAGCTCGGTATGATTTTAAAAAAAAGGGAAAAGAAAGGAAAAATACTCTGCTATTTAAACAGCAAAAAGCACAAGAGCTAACAAACAGTGGTGAGACCGATTTTAGAGAGAATTTATGTTGCCTAATTATTAGCAAAGTGATGACTGGTACGATAAAAACTTTTTAAAGCTGATGTCAAATAAGCCCCATCAAAACTGTCATTTAACATAAATATACAAATACTGTAAGAAATCTATAGAATTAGAAAGAATACCATTGCTTTCATAAATTATTGCACAGTCAGGACCTTCACTTACAGTTCCAGTAATAATGTCATCTGGCATTTACAACATAGGAAGCTTTGCGATTATCACTAATTGATCACTCAGTAGTAAACAATACCATCTTGTTTATTACTTATCTTTGATTGAAATCCAGTTGAACAGGTCCCAGTGTAGTTACTAACCTGAAGGACAAAGCATGGCAATCAGCTATTTCTGATGTTAAGGGAGTAGAGATTTTCATCGAGAATCTCTAAACTTACGTCCTGTGTTAGCTAACACTCATAGGCGGTGAGCATTCACAATTTTGAGAGAACTGACACTTCTATATGAATCGAATCAGCATGCAAAAGTACCACAGTCAGAGACATTATCATTGGACTATTCTGATAGCACTGATCATATGTTTCTTTTTAAATCAGTGTGGAAATGCGCGACAGACATCTGCATAAACATGTCATCAATAACAGAATAGTTGAAATATATCATGAACCAGTTTCAGTTGTTGGAAGAATCGTTGGACATGTTCGCATAAACAAATGGACATTATTACCCAGAGTGAACACAGGTATAATCGTATAACATTGAGAAATATAACTAAAAGATTAACTGTTCTCGTCGAATTCTTGTCAAGCGTGAGATTTGAGTAATGTAGTTTAGATCAACTGCAATGGTGACAGTAATAAAACTTTTTCTTAAACTTACAAGAGCAGTTTGTAAACTAAACTTTTATCCTGATGAAATAAGCAGACATTTGATGCAAATCAACAAATTAACTTTGCAAATGATTTTGACCTAACGAATGATCATTTAATATTTTTAAAGTCATTAAAATAAACTTACTGGTAACTTGGATGCAGGAGACACAGAGCAATAACATTCACGGCATGAGGATGCTCAAATACCATTGAACAACCACGCTAGAAAAATAAGACGAACACACATTTATACAGTAGGAGTAATTTATTGTAAGCAGTAATTACGGTGATATTTATAATGGCTAGAAATGTACGTTTTACATCCCAGAATGCAAACTGGTTCAATCCGTCGAAAGAATTCGTTGACTACCAAGAATATAAATAGCGAAGACAACGCAAACAGAGTATATTACCTAACAAATATATCTGGGGAGAAATAGTGTCTATAAATATAGTATCTGCTTTAAGAATCACAGTTTAACAATGATTTACAATTTCTTGATATTGTTCCAAAAAAGGAGTGTACATTGAATTTTAACGCAAAGGCAAGACTAATACTTGTCTCTGAAGAGAGATGGCTATCAAAATGAGTAAATACGAAAGTAAATGAATATTTGAAAAAAACATTATAGAAAGATGAATAGGGATGTTTCATTTGTTTATGTGGGTAAAAATTATGAACGCTGCTTTCCAATAACACTCTGGTCAAGAATCATTAACATAATTTCATTGGTCTTACAAGAAGTCACTTTCTTCAAAGTTAACTAAATGTATTATCAGTGAAATCTGACTGGTTTGAGAGACTAAATGTAAAACTTAGTCAAGTAATGTTGAGCGTTGATGAAATAAGGGAATGTATAAATGAATTATAATAAAAAAAACAATGAAAATACTGCTGTAGTAAACAACAACTCGAACCCTAAAACCTTTTTTAGCCTATTAGTTAAAATTCCACATCAAGAAAATTATGTTGTATAATAACAAACCTGATTATTAAGTAATGCACGAAAGCATCTGACACCTTGATGAAGACTATCCCTGATTGAATCAGATATGTGGCGTACATGAACAGGCGAAAAAGAAATGCGATCATGTTTTTTTTTCCTTAAACTAGAGCACCATAAACCAGATCCAACTTTATCACTTTCATTAATATTATCGCACAGATCAGTTATAGAAACTGCTTGATCCGAGCTAAATGAACCTAGAAGAGCAGAACGTTGTTGCTGAATGGCATCCACGGTAGGGCGGAAATCAGTTCTAAAATTAAATTAATAGAAATGATGTTAGCACAAATAGGTGTGAATATATGCTAGTTAACTAGAACAAGCATATTTTTAAATTGGAGTCATTAAAATGGCATGCAAACAATCGGTCGACTCAGTTTACGAAAAGATAGAGTAGAAAAAAAGGGATGATTAAAACTCCATTTTTGTTTATAAATAAATCAGAAACAGGAATCAAGCTATGAAAAGCGATGAAACGTTATTGTTCATCAAACTTATAATCAAAGTATATTAATTATATGATAAAAAACCATGCGTTCTCAAGATGTTCTGAAGAAGAGAAACTATCAACCTACTCTTTGTATGGCGACTATTGACGAAATATAGAATATGCGTCTTGTCATATTATGAAATAATGTTATATCTACCTATATTTTATAAAATAACAGTATTCTCACTCACATTAAGAGCTAATACCTACATTTATCATGATACTTTAATCGTTTTATGGATAACAACATATGTACTTGAAGTTGTTGGTGCTAAATTCGAGTTTATGTAAAGATTGTAATATATACGGAAATGTGAGCAGGCATATTAGTTAGGTGAGACTGAACGTGTCCTGAATTTCATCGTTATCAGTGAGAACGAACCACATTCGAATCATCCCATATGACGGCCTAGGCCAGTTAAATCACATCAAGTAATTTCAATAATCCAACAGACAATTAAAAATATTAGCATTCTAACTTCACATAAACAAATCAAACGACAAAAATCACTCCATACTCATGTATTTATAATAGTAAACTATCAGTTAACAACATATATCATTTCATCAACAAAAAAGCGCACATTTAAAATGATTCAGTTTGAAGTGGTGTAGGTAAATGGAAATTCTTAGTCTAGGACATAACTAGCACATGTAAAAACCCATGCATTATGTAACTTACGACAAAATAGAACATTTCCTAAACCTTTTAAAACTGTTTAGTTATAGATTTAAAAATGAATTAAAATTCTGACTTACCTCATAACCATGTGTATTACTCTAGATACATAATTCACTAATGCTTCCAAACCCTCTTGATCGAGAAAATCATAAACCCAACTAAAAGTGAATGTATACAACTCCACCACTTCTAGAAACTTACGCTACATTGTTTGTTCGCAATGATATTTCTGTGGCTAAAAGAATTTCTTTTGCTTGCTGTGCATCACCTTTACGTGGATTCTAAAAAAAATTGTTAGCGAAATTAATCAAACCTTTGTCAATGTTGACCGCCCGACACGCAAGCCTTTAATCAGGCTAACATAATGAAAAGCGGAAAACTTTGGATTTTTTACAGCCTAAAGTATGATTTCAATAAAACAGTACACAGGCGTTTACATAATTTTCCAATAATTGACGTTTCTGATCATCGGGAAGCTGTTCAATACCCTTGGCTTTATCAGGGTCAACGTCTAATGACTGTATAAAGTTTGCCCATTGATCTTCATATTTTGGGGTATTTTCATAATTCATGATTTAACCAATATATAGATGCATTCGAGTTCAAAGCAAAGAACAGGTTTCAAGAGCTAGCAAACATGAAACGTTTGATAAGCATTACAACACTGATTATAAAATTTAAAAAGTTGGTACTATACAAACAAAAAAATTATACAAAGAACGTTTCCCAGAAATACATACCAAAAAAAGTTAAATATTCTTAAAGTATTCCATATTAATCTAAACTTCATCTGCACGTTAGAACAAAGATACTTTCCGACTCACATTGTCGACATCTAGCAGAAAAGATCGCTTAAAAAACGCTGAACATGAGGAAACAGAACGATATACAATGTTACATCGTCTCAAGCAATCTCACACTAAAATCTAGTCAACACGAAGTAAGGATATTGAAATGGAAACAGAGAAGGCAAGAGATCGCCGGTAATATAGTTACATGATGGTTGATCGCTTGGCTAAGATGAACCTAACAACAATAAACTGTATTTGTTACCTAATCTCGAAAGTTTGCCTATTATTAACTCACGGATCTTAAGGTTAAAAGCCTGCAGTTTTAAACAGGATGCTGATAGGCTTGATTAATAAGATTTCGACAGTATCAAGCACTAAGAAATACACTGATTAGTTAGAAGCAGCTTATGGAAAAAACATATTAATGCGCTAGATAATTGTCCAAGGTCGTGCACTGTTTATGAATGACAACTACGAAATTATGACAATTTATGGGTAGTAACACGTATATCTTTGTACTCAGTGTGAAACAACAGAATATACAACCCTTTATTTTCATACGCTTCTTCAGTAAATGTAAACAATAATAAATGTGTGTATCCAAGTCACTGGGCCCAACGTGTCATCAAGAAACAATCAACATCAGGCATAGAGTTATGTTACCTGACCTTAAGATTACTTTTTTGACTATTAAGTATGGGTACCACTTTAAAATTACATTCCGCACGTTCCCCACTCATAAAGAATTTTCTATGTACGTAGAGTGAAATTTTACGACACCAACCCACTATTTCAATTAATTACAGAGCATTTAACTCCGTGGGTCTCCTACGTAGTTGTATTGCATATCAATCTAGTAAGTGAGCAGTAAAAACGTCAGACAGTACAGTGCACAAAAGATATAGCGAATTGGCAGACAAGGCGACTAGTTTGGATTGCTAGATGTATCCGGGGCATATACTGGTCATCTTCGGTCACTGAGTACCTAAACACGCAATTTCGGCAAGCAAAGAGCCACGTTAGATAGGAAAATGTGGCCAGAACAATACATGGCTTCATTATGTGAACCTATTGGCTGCTGATCTGATTCGTAGTGTACTATAAACTAAGAATCTTAACTTTGTTCTTAGTTTAAAAACACTTTTATTTGTGTTTCAAGAAAACGATTAGAGAAAATTTATCAAGTATGATTAAGATCGGTACTAATCCGATTTCGCTACATTACCCTTTTTATAGATGTTGAAGTTTAACTCGTGAAAACTGTTTTAGAGTTGGTATAAAGTACTGTATAGAAAGAAACTTTAGGCACTAAAGCTGAGTAATGTATTTTAAGTAAACGATAGTAACTTCCAAATACATAATAAACATTACTAACGTGTATACCCCTGATTTGTTGGACATGCACAGTGAGTCAAACGAGAGTTAACTTTATATTGTTAGCAAACTTCGTCATCCTACCTACGTCGAAACCTGTAACATAATTTTAACTTCCTTCAAGTTTCTAGTACATAATGTGGATCAGATAAACAGCCAAAAAGTTCGCAGACCAAAATAATTTATTGGTCTGGTTACAGTTATTTATCATAAAAATAGTCTTTCGCACTAGTTTCAGGCAAACATCTCCAAACAATGTGAAAATGATACAACCACTCATGAAAATGTATAGAATTATTGAGTAGCACAGCAGCTCCCGAAATCAAGAAGTAACATCGTTTGAAAAGATGGATGTATGGTTCACCAGAAGAAAACATAAAGGTGGAAAATAATATCCGACAGAAGCGAAATATGCTGACGACCTTTAGTTAACAATCGGAATTCAGATAGCGTCCAATTATTTTGCGCGAAATTCTAAGTAGTGATAACGTGTCATTATGAACCAAATGAAAATCAACGAATTCGGTTCTTAAAGTTTGAAAACAATGGAAATATCTACTAGTTAGCGGCAAGGTAGAGGTTAGGTGGCGCTTAAGCTAAATTACATGACATACTTAATTTTGAGCAAAATTGTGTCTAAGTACATTATGCCAATTATTAAGTAATCAAGAGTTTAGTGAATCTAGATATTCTCCCTTTCTTACTATCACTATAACTATCAGCCCTACGTTTTTCAGGCTTGTAAACAGAAAGATAGGAAAACATTGTATTATAGCTGCTGTCCGTTCGTGTTGAAAACGCTCACCCTAATTAGGAATTTCAACTCAAAACTCCAGCTTAACTCTTCATCCTAATCTTAAACTTACTACATTATGACTGATATCGAGTGGTGACGAAGACTTTATAATGTGACAAACCTTGATTAAAATTTTATTATGCATTTGTTCATGTAAATTTGTCATTCTTACTTTATTAAAAGGGATAATTTACCTTACGACAGTTATTTATTAAGATTAAAGCTGATTTTTTATTACTCCTTTATTGCCTTGAATTCTCAATTGTTTGATGACTAGGAAATTTTTTTGATGGGCTGATAATACGCATAGGGTCGTCAGTATATCATACTGTGACCCAGTATCCTTAAGCGACATTTTTTCAAGCACCATAACTATTACATAGGGATCCAAAAGGCTCTAGTGAATGAACTATGAATGCATCAGAAAGATTTACGAGTGAACAATATAAGTTTAACTGGATGTGAGATACATAACGACCTCTCAAGTCAACATACCGAAATACAATAAAAAAGATGAAGAAACCTAGGTCATCCACGCCCTTTTAAAAATCACCTGTCAATAGGATAAAATCGTTAGTGTGTTTAAACAAATTAAACATCTAATGTCATGATAGTGAGAAAATAATAAAAACCCTGCCTGGGCAAAAATAAAAAATTGTTTCATCTATTGTTGTGTGCTTGATTCGCAGATGATATTTATGAGACGTACGCTAATGCAGATATTTATGTGAAGTTAAGCTTCACAAATGTAACATATTGTATTGAAAAATCACTGGTGGAATTATTTACTTTTGTTGGCAGAGTCTTAGTGGGTTGGATTAAAAGTTCTAAGATGTAGAGATTTTTAAGATGAAACTGCTTGTTCAGGCGTATGACACAATTTCATTTGGTTACGCCATCTAGACAATAGGAAATAAACAGTGAAGCAATACTTGTTACTTCACAAGAGTCATTAACTATCTTGTAATTAATACTTAGATGAATTTCGTACACCATATCATGAATGAATTCAAACAACGCTAATGACGCGGCTGTGTAATAGCAAACAAAATTTCCGTAGTTCTCCAAATTCGCATCATGCGACTTTGTGTACTCACGATTTCAAACAGCATACGGTTGTTCTGATTTCGATTACTTAAACGCGATATAGCATAATCCCTAAGTACGGTGAATAAGATTATCTGGTACACACAGATATGGATATTTAAATGAACGTAAGACCATCACAGCATGGGCCAGTTCATGGCGTACGACTAAGTGACTGGTTATAATTGACCTTGACAGAGGTCAGTGATCGGTTCGATATTCAGTGACCCAACCGCCGAATGATTTGGTTAGGGCTTAGTGACATTTCGCTGACCCTACAATACACCCCCACTACTGCAATACTAATGGGTGCTTCAGTGTCCTGATGTTCAAGCATAGTTGCTTTGGCGACAAGTTCCTTAATTGTGGAGAATGCTTTTCTCACTGTGTCGTCTAGATTGATGGATTTCGCATTTCCACGAAGTTGGTCGGTTGGCGGTTTCATAAGTGACAAGCACTTAGGTATGATCTGTCTATGGAAACTTACAAGGTTGTTGAACGTGCGTAATTGCTTGACAGTGGTCGGTTCTGGGTAATCCAGAATGGCCGCCACTTTGGCTCTAAGAAGTCGAATATCTTGCGCATCTATAGTGTGTCCTAGGAAGTCTAATGAGTCACTTCCGATTTGACATTTCTGAATGTTTACAGTAATGCCGTGTTTTTGTAGTCGATCGAAAACAAGATCCAGATGGAGTTGCGGTTCTTCGTCCGGACTTACTATTAGACAGTTATCAACATACGCATGTACGAAGTTGAGAACTCGATAAACGTTGTCTATAAACCTTTGAAAAGTTTGTGTAGCGTTTCTTAGACCGAAAGGCTTTCGCGAAAATTCGTAGAGTCCGAAGGGAGTTGTGATAGCTGTGTTCGGAATATCATCAGTAGCCATATCGATTTGGTTATACGCTTTAACCAAGTTGATTTTCGGAAAGACAGTTGTACCTTTCAAGGTAGCTGTCAAATCGTGAATGTGAGGCAACAGGTAGCGATCGGGAATGGTTTTTGCATTCAATCGCCGATAGTCACCAGTTGGACGCCAATCGTTGCTGTCCTTTTTAGGGACCATGTGCAACGGAGATGCATATAGGTTATTTGACGGTCATATGATTCCTTAGTCTATCATGTGGTCGAACTCGTTTTTTGCCAACCTCAGCTTTCCGGGGGCTAGTCGTCGTGCTTTAGAGATGTGATGTGTAACATTGATGGTTACACAAGGTAATGTTAGTTGTGATTGGTATATCCAAGAATACTTATCGAGTAGTGGTTGATAGAATGGGTCCATCGTTTGCTTAATGACTGGAGATAATCTGCAACCAGAAAAAGAAGTTACGCAGACAAACAGATTAGTGTTTCCGTCTACTAGCCTCCGTTTGCGCGTATCGATGAGTAGACCATGGTGTTGTAGAAGGTCTATATCAATGGTTGGTTTAGAAACATCTGTAAGGATGAAAACCCAATATATGGGTTTGCGTAAACTCACGTTAAGGTAAACGTACCTTTTACCGTATGTAGCGATAGGCTTTCCGTTTGCCACCTGTAGATTTAAAACCGATTCGTGAAGCCGGTCGTTAGAATTCGCTGGGAGAACGCTAACTCCTGCGCCAGTATCGACGAGGTAGCGAACTTTCGTTATAACATCTGTGACGTATAACAGACGGCTATGTTTGCCGGCTACAGTTGCCGTTAACGCGTGCCGGCTTGAAATTTTCCCGAATTGTTTTTCGTGTCGGTGGATTTTGAGTTGGGAAAATCGCAGGGTCTTCTGCAATTTCTAGAGGACTTTCCATACTGGTTGTGATACCAGCACCAGTCGGGGTTATCAGTTTCTCTTGACCTAGAGGGAGATAGCCTGTAACAGCTCAGGTTGGTTGGTTAAGAGTTGACCCCAAACAACCAAGCTTATGCCAAAACAGTATTGTTCAAGTATTCATTCACTTCCTTATTTTTCATAAGCGTTATATTCCCTATTATCTTATATTGAATGTTGAGAGCCTTTGTTTGTCTGAACAGATAATCCCACGCTCCACTGCGACTGCGCTAAGATCGAAATAAAGACCTATTCACTACTTCTCTGGTTTCTTCTATCAATAGCACGAGGGTTACATTAAGGCACGAAACTGGTGAGCCCTTTTTGAACACAAATTTAACCTCATTTCTGTTATTAACATTTTTTTTACTTAATCGTAAAAGTAGACCTGATTATCCGTAAACTAATTTGAGTATATAACTAGTTTATTCCGTATTATCTTAAGTTATTCGTGTTATAGTAACCACTTTTTGTGCTAACTTTATTGCTATATTTGTCACATACCTCATGTCAGACTCAATAGAAACCCATAATCTGGAGGATTTGTCACCAGTGGAGATAGACACTGTTATGACTACGAAATCCCGACTTCCAGAATTTGATCGTAGTGATCCTGAGTTGTGGTTTGCTCAACTAGAGCATTATTTCACGAGACACAATATCAAATCTGAAGGGATTCGCTATAGAGACTTGTGTTCAATCCTTCCTCCTTCAGTCGCCAAAGAAGTCCGTGACTTGATTTTAAGTCCACCATTACCACAACCATACACCGTCTTAAGACGAGAGATAATGAACCGTTTATCACTATCAGATAGTCAAAGAATCCAAAGACTTTTTCAAGGTGAAACACTAGGTGATCGGTCGCCGTCACAGTTTTTACGTCACCTCCAAGTCTTAGTGGGTGATAACACAGTGGGTGAAGCAGTCCTAAAACAAGGATGGATACAAGCTCTCCCATGCTACGTCCAACACTGTTTGGATGCACAGGATCCTGAAACCTCATTATCTCATTTAGCGCGTATAGCCGACAGAATAATGGAAAGAGGTCCTCCAACTGGATCAGGCACAATAAATCACACACAAAAAGTAGAATCAGCAAAAGACCCCGTAATAGAAGGACTCATTGCGAGTGTTAAGAGTCTCACTGAGGCTGTCACCAGAATGCAAATGGGTCATAGAAACAGGAGCAGGTCACCACAACGACCACGATCCGAGTCACAAAACAGGTCACAAATGTCCAGACAATCTGGGCAGTTTTGTTGGTACCACTGGAAGTTTGGTGTCAACTCAACCAAGTGCATGCAACCATGCGCCTGGCCTAAGCATAATTCTAAGACAGCGGGAAACGAGTAACCCCTCCCCAGGTCGCGACGACTGAGGAGGGGCGCCTAAACAGTCGCTTGTTTTATGTTAGAGACAGAAACTCGGGCTTGAATTTCTTGGTGGATACTGGCGCTGCTCTTAGCATCATCCCTCGAAATAAAACTGAGATTGGACGAGAAACATCATCAATTACACTTCAAGCTGCAAATAAAACTAAAATCGCGACATTTGGGCAGAAAACTTTAACCCTAGATTTGGGGTTCAGGAGGCAATTCCCTTGGGTTTTCACGGTAGCCGACCTAGATCTGGCAATACTGGGGATGGACTTTCTAGAGAGATACGAATTTCTAGTTGACACCAAGAAACGGCGATTAACACTAAAAGAAACTTCGTACTACACAAAAGGCAAAGAAAGTCACATCAACTCTCTTAACTTGATTCAAACTCCCCCAGTAACAACAGCGAAATTCCAAGATATACTCGCGGAATTTCCAAACTTAACTAAACCAAACCCACAGCCTTCCAAAGACAAACTAAAAGTGAGTCACACTATCAAAACCGAAGGTGCACCGGTGTTTGCAAAACCCAGGAGACTAGCACCAGATAAGCTCAAAATCGCTAGGGCCGAGTTTGATTATATGCTACAACTGGGTATCATCCGTCCCTCTGATAGTCAATGGGCATCCCCTTTGCATATGGTCCCAAAGAAGAATGAAGGTGACTGGCGACCGTGCGGGGATTACAGAGCCCTAAACCGTCAAACCGTACCTGATAGGTACCCAATACCTCATATCCAAGATTTCACCAACGGTTTACAGGGTATGAACATATTCACTAAAATTGACTTAGTCAGGGCATATCACAATATCCCGGTGGCTGATGAAGATATTCCCAAGACAGCTATTACTACACCCTTTGGCTTATTCGAGTTTGTACGCATGCCATTCGGCCTGAGAAATGCGGCACAGACATTTCAAAGATTCATAGATAACCTACTTCGAGATATGCCATTTGCGCAGGGGTATATAGACGACTTGTTAATTGCCAGCCCCGATTTGCAATCACACGAACAGCATGTACAAGCAGTGTTGAAAAGACTGGATGAACATGGAATAAACATACATCAAAGTAAGTGTGTTTTCGGTGTTCAAACTTTAGAATTTCTCGGTCACACAATAAGCCCAGAAGGGATTAAACCTATAAAAAAAGAAGTGGATACTATCAAACAATACCCCGTACCTAGTTCTCTAACACAACTGAGAAGTTTTCTAGGCCTAATTAACTTCTATCGCAGATTCATACCAGGTTGTGCACAATTAATGCAACCTTTGACAGATTCACT